AAAAGTAAATTCAGTGGCAAAGTGGGTATACATATATATACTACCCAAATTAGTACACAAATCTCAGGGCATGGCCTGACATTATTGGAACGCCATGGCCAGGAATCGTTTTGCGAACATGGGTAGTGATCTTAGTTATGGGATTGATGGACCTTAATTCTTGCTGTATATTATGTTTTCTTTCGTTTCAAAACTAAACTAGAGCGAATGTGTGTTTTTATCTATCTATGCATCTTAACCATACAAAGGTCGAAAGTATTGTAAGTACGATTATTTCATCTCGATGTACTCCCTCTATTCCAAAATATTTGACGCTGTTGACTTTTTTAAAAATATTTGACCGTTCATCTTATTCAAAAAAAATTAAGTAATTATTAATTATTTTCCTATCATTTGATTTATTATTAAATATACTTTTATGTATATATATAATTTTACACATTTCACAAAATTTTTAGAATAAGACGAACGGCGTCAAACATTCCGGGAAGGAGGGAGTAACTGGCTCAGTTCAGTAAAGTTTTCATTATCGTAAGATAAAATAACATTGACCCGTCTACGTCAACGGCGGCCGGATTAATTCTCGTCCCCGCCGGCGCCGGCGCCGGCCTACCTCCAGTGAGAGCTAACCCACCAACTTATTCGCGCCTGCATCTGCGTGTTTGGCGCCAAAAACGGGTGGATATATATATATATATATATATATATATATATCTCTGAATCATCATCATCATCAATATCACTAGGAGCTCACTAGCTGCATATGCGTACCAACTTAACCTGAACTTTCGTCAGTGCAAGGTCAAAATTCGTCCGGCCGTGCGGCGCCGCAAAAACCAAAACGAACCTAACCTAAACCACACAAATGCACGTGTTTACATTAACTTAATTTAATTTGTTCTTGTACTACTATGTTCTAGTAGATCAATCGTGCATGTTTCGTTCACTGTTTCTTTCTCTGAATTTTTCTGAAAACCAAACTCATCGATGGTCGACGGATATTCTTCGATCGGTTTGTCTCTCTGCACATGTCGCTGTCGGCCAACTCGGTCGTCGACAGATTTCGCAAAAGATGAGCCCCCGGTTAATAATTATCTTCGCTAATTAAGCTAGTAGTAGAAAGCTGTGGTACGGTACGGCTCTTCTTGTTAATCATGTAAAGAGAGTCAAGTGTGACTGTCGTACTCATATATACTATTATCCATATCTTCTTCTTCAGTTTGTACCACATACATCTCCTTGATTAGTACTACTATTAGAGCAGTACAATAGCATGCTATAAACCAGCCATAAACATATTTTAAAGAGATAAATAAAGAGATAGAAGAGTAATAGACTACAGATTTGTAGCCAACTATAGCACGGACTTCAAGACGTACTGTGTATATGACAGGTAGGGCCAGGTATTAATAGTACAGTAAGCAACTATTGTATAAATTGGCTCTTCTATTGGCTATAGATGATTTAGAGTTAGTAGTTGGCTATACTATTAAACTTGCTCTTATTCTCTATTTAGGAATACAAACAGCACGTTGCAAATGTGTACGGGGAGAATCAAAACGGATATGTACTTTCTTCGTACTACGAAAATAATTCTACTAATGTCTATCCCTGAATTCTTTAATTAGCTAGTATACCTTTCGTACTTTTAACTTTAAAATCGGGTATTAGTTTCAAGTTAGTTTCGATAGTGTGTTCATTTGGTATTGTAGATGTTAATTATTGTTTTTGGAATACGCAAGGAGCGTATCATTATATTAAGAGGAATAAAAGTTATTTACAAATCAAACATAAAATTTGAAAAGGGGATAGGATACCGGAGCGGAAAAAAGAATTTAAGCTACAATCTCACAACCGATTGGGACGACCTAGAGACTCATGAAACTAGAGACCAAGTGCCGGTATTAATTGCCACCTTTGCCAGGCGCCATAACTCCGCCTCTGTAGCCATAGCTTTCGCTACATCGACTCAGGGCCACTCTTGCAGGTTGAAATCCCGGTTGTTTCTCTCCTGATGTTAATTATTGTTTTGTGACTTGATCAAAGTGAGAAAACTTTTACTTAAGAGAAAAAAATGATAGACTAAAGAGTTCAGGGAAGTAAAAGTTTTAATATTATAGAAGTAATACTTACCGCCTATAGCGGCAGGCCGACAGCTAGAAATGCACACAATTGTATTTGTGCATATTTTCTAATAATAAATTAAAACCCAACTTCTATATCTAATACGATGTACACCGCTACTATTTGTGAATAGTTTTGGATGTGCTGATTCATGCATCCACAGATCCACGAAGGTGTATCTTCAGATTTTTCATGATACACTGTCCCCAAATTGCACTCCAGTGTAAGCAACATGCATCAACACATATGGTATGATGCTACCAAAGCTTTAGAAAACTACTAACCCCAAGAATCAATCGACCAACATGGCTGGTGCTCAATCATCCCATCACATCACAACTCGTGCAGTGCAGCATATCCCCTGATCCCTCACCTCCAATCTTGACCTAAAAAACGATAAGTACAATCTGCATCGCATAAAGAGAAAAAGGAGAGATCACGAGCACATGCTCCAATGGCCATGAATTTGTGTGCCCGCAAGAAGAATTCAGCACACCTGCACAAGCAATAATGGAGCTTGAAATACCAGTAGAAATCAGATTGTTGCAGCTTTGCTCTTAAACAAGTTGAAAAAACGGCGTTTTTCATTTGCAATTGTGCTACGCATGCGTGAATGGATGGATGGATCATGGATGATCTCTTTTGATCTCTACTCAAAAGATGAGCAGAAAGTCAGTGTGTGTCACTGCCTGTTCTGTTCATTTGGACTACTGCCCCCAGCAGATGAATGATGATGGCCTCTTTTACTACTTTTACTCTGAAACTGTGACCAACTTGTTCTGCTGTTCATCAATTTTTACACATGCATGGATAAACTAGTGGATGCAGACATGCCATAGCAGCACTAGTGCTAGATATTAGAGCAAGTTTAATAGTATAGCCAACTACTAGCTCCAATTCATCTATAGCCAATCTAATAGCTCATCCATATAATAGTTACATACTATACTATTAATACTTGGTCCCACCTGTCATACACACACTGCGTCCTGGAGTCCGTGCTACAGCTGGCTACAAATCTGTAGCCCGCTGCTCTTCTCTCTCTCCTTATTTATCTCCTTAAAATATGTTTGCAGCTAGCTTATAGCTTGCTATTGTACCTGCTCTAAGAGCTTATATGCAATTCAGATTGCAGCCAAAATAAAACTTATCAAATTTTAGCACTAAAATTTTAGCAATTTGGTAATATTGCCAGGTTTGGACAGGATTTCTTTTGTATTGATCAAGTTTGGTAAAAAAACTAAATGGATAGCATCTTTGACAATTTAAAAAAAAATGGTATGGCACCTTAAACTTATCAGAAAAAACAGACAATTTACAAGTACTCCTCAAATCTCAAGTGTATAATAGAAATAGACCGTAATTTTTTATTTAGTTGCGTGCTAGTTAGGTTTCAAATTTGAGACATTTATTTGTGATATCATATTGAGTTGCATTCACGGACTAATTTAACCTAAAAGTTTAAGGTTGCGAGAAAATATGGACACTTCACTTATACTACAAATGGTCTTGAAGAAAAAAAAAAGCAATTGAGCCAGCAGTTGAACAGGGTATGAGTAAGTGCGGCAGTTTCAGGCTGTCTGGCCGAATTGTAGTTACAGTACAAGCACAAGCACATTTTGTAGGCCAGATCTTGTCTGCGTTATGATGAGAAGAAAGGATGCAGAATTGCAGATTTGCATTGCAGCAGATTTTCTGATGTAAAAAAAGAAAGAAGGAGAATGCCATAATGGTTACGAGTAGTACAAACAAACAGACAAGATATATCTGCAGTAGTTCAGAGAGTTGCGAAACAGTGGCCATCTTTGCTTTCTTCCCGACCAAATCACAGGTGCTGCAACCATATCAAGCAATCGTCTATCCGTCTTTGCTTTCTCCTCATGCGAAATGGACACAAAAGAAAAAGGAATCCTGAGCAACTATTCTGTGTTTCAGTAAGCACTCACGTCATGAACCTTCTTCGCCAGATTATTGTCACATGCTCCCTCCGTCTAAAAAAACTAACCTAGAAGTGTGATGAAATATAATCTAGTACAACAAATTTAGATTGCTCCTGTCCAGATTCGTTGTATGGGATTAATTACATCCCAATTCTAGGTAGGGTTTTTATGGGACTCCATACCTCTAAAATTATTTTTTAAGATACTTTTATCTAATTCATTGCTTAGACCATTTGTTCTGAGATATTTGTTAAGTTTATTTCTTAAAATAATTAATTCATCCATATAATCAAGTATATTTTTCGTGATAATAATTTGATGAATAATCTATTTTAAATTAGGCCTATATAAAATGTCACTTTCTTTGGGCGTGTTCAGAGTTGATGTTCTCCAATCCATTTATGTCGAACTGTTTGTGTGCCACATGTTGGCCCCAAAATTTCTTCCCATTCTTGTGACCACCAATAATACATAATCAAGACGATTGCGCTTGCGCACGTTATGAGCAACAAGTTGTCGACTATTGTGTTTAAATATTGACTTGCTTCCCTATCATGTCTCTCTAGCTCCATCAGTGACTTGATTATCTGTCGGAGAAAGATGCCGATATAAAACTGTTTGTTGAAGCATCAAACTTGCGTAAGCGATGACCGAGTTGCGACTGACGAAACAGGCAGTGGATAATAGCCATACGAACACTATGAACAGCTCACCTGTTTCAAAACTGAATATTGATCGTGCAATGGTAAGAGGTGTGTGATTTCAACCCCAAGGTCTCGTGTTCAATCCCCGGCACTTTCATAATTCTTTCTTTAAAAATGTTTGGAGGGACATTTCTCCCGCCAAATCTCGTTTTTTTATATATTTCGGTTTTAGAGTTCTAGTATTGTATGAAGTGACAAGTTCAGATAATCACTTCAACTGAAAAACTCAATATTGTCTCATAAAATGTACTTATATTATCAAGTGCTATATATATTAATTTCACGAGAACAGCCTTGGTTCAGTCAGTTGCAACTATAAAGTGCAGGCACACTTTTGTAATACCGTGCCATTGCTGTGGACCCATATGCCAGTGATATTAAAGTCACCTAACTTAAGTCGGAGATAAAGTTACCTGCAACTTTACCTTCTTACACAAACTTCACTTGGCTACTATTGAATCTAAAACGTAACTAATTAGTACTAGACATAACATTAACATCCGCTATATGTACAATTAATATCTTTGCTATAAACCCAATATCAGCTTTGGCAACATGAGTTTCAAGATTGTGGCGTTACAACCAATGCAATCTTCAAACTTCAGATGTTTGCCAGGTAGAATGGTATGTACAGGTACAAAGTTCAGTTCCTTGCCAATTTGTTCATGGTTGAGCTAATAGTGGTGCTTGCACTGCTTCATGATCAAGCTGATCTGGAACTGCAACTCTTGTGCATTTGGCTTCTGGCTTAAGCATGAAAGAAATGCCCAAAGATATTGCCTGCAGAAGTATTCAGTCAAGTCATGCAGTTATAGGCACTATTTAGATTCATGAACACACATGGAAGAATTAATAGGACTGACCAAGAAGAAACCGGCAACGAGGAAACTGAAACCTTTGCAGTTGAAGGGGGCTTGTTCTGAAATGAAGTAAGCTGAAACAGAGTTGCAGAAAAGGGAGAAATCAAACATTCAGAATACTACATGGAGTTGGCGACATGGCAATGCAACATTTGTAAGATGAAACAAAAAAAAATTGCTTGTTTACAGGTCAGGGGGCTCATGAACAATGGTGCCAACAGTACAGCTGTGGATTTCACAGTTGAAATGAATCCTTGTGCCTTTCCCTGCAAAAGTAAAGTCAATTTTATGCCAAACTTTGATCAGTAACTGAGTAAATAAAGCTAAGGGATATCAAGATTGGATTTACAAATCAAGAAATATTTTTTTCCCTTCCTGAGTTTACCTGGTCAGATGAGTCCACTTCCCCAGAGATGATTGCATAAGTCTGCACATGTTCAACAATTTTGAAGTGTATTCAAAGATTTTTCAAGTGTATAATTGTTACTTAAATGCACACAAAACACAAAACATGATTCCTGATTTTAATGATGCAAACATTGTACATTTGGCGTTTTATTTTGTAGTTAATATACTCAGATATCTCATATATCACAGATCTTAAAAGTTACAGGTATATAGACATGGTGATCACTTACAGCTGGTTTGACCAGAACATAGATGACACCCAATGAGGAAGTAAGATAAGGAACCTGCATAATCAGTGTCAAACAAAACAAACAAAAATGTTCAGTAACGACATTAGTCACTGCAGCATTTTTTGGACTTAAAATTTATTACTGAACTATGCGCCCAAATACATACCCAGTAACTCCATGCCAAACCATACAGGACAGCCTAGAGGAAAAAAAAAGGTTTTAGTTCTGCATCTGATATCAGTAAAAGTGATAACAAAAATATTAGCAAAAAGAGATGTGATACACTCACGTAGGCAACAGATGCAAGTATCCCAACGCATAGGACTCCCTTCTCACCAACTGTATTGATAATAACAGGGAGTACCAAAATCTACAATTTTACAATTTTTTTTTGTTAATCAGGCAAGGCACTTAAAGGATGATTGTTTTTTCGAATATAACATCAAGCAAAGGTTATTATAGACTAAGTACTACCTGCGAAAAGATTGAACCAATGCCTACTACCATAAGAATTTCAGAGAACTGGTTCTTGTCAAAACCAAATACTGACTTCAGATAGTACTGCAAATAAAGGGGCGAAGAATGAAATAACCAGTACTCTTTTGAACGCAATGTCGTAAAATAAATCTGAGCATATGGTTACCATTAGGACATCACTAATGCCGATCATGCCCAACTCGTAGAAGAAGGAAATGTATGTGATTCTGCTAAGTGTTTCACTAACAAAACATGAAGATAGAGAAGATCAAAATTTGCATTAGTAGGTATCTCTTGACATCAACAAAATTTGCATTTGCAATTTTCAAATGTTGGTCAAGTGTAAATACAGAAGTCTCATCAGGCTTTCTTTTCCAGAATTATTATCCGTGAATCCGATACTTATTAATTTTCTTTGTGCTTTGACATGAATCGTTACACCATTAAATTACTTAGACCATAAAGGAGTCTGGTGAGGAACATTACCTTCTCCTGATTATGTTAATATTCTCCTTGATAGACTCCCAGCGCCGCAGTGGTAACCTGACAACCAAAGATGAGAACGACATATGCTCAAACGAACCAGAAGAAGCTCTTTGAAGTGTCTCAACCAGAGATATTTTCATGTAGATGACAGAAGAGATCAACAAAGCAACCGAGACCTGATAATGCGTGGTTTCATACTTGTAAGAATGACATTAATTAGCATAAAAATTGAAAAATAACATTGTTGATGAACTGTAAGAAATCTTCATGATATAATACCTGGAAAATCCACCGCTCGGGCAGAAACCTAGAGAAGCCATTGCCCAGAGCATGCGAAGCAGATAGTATCCCAGTTATGCAGCCAAATGCAAATGCTCTCTTTGATGGATCAACCACATCGGCCTAATTAAATTAGCAGAAAAGGGAATTTTAACTGTCCAGCATGCAACGTGCATGACTACTTGTTCTCAAACCGCATTGTGCATAGCTATGCAATAACAAGAAACGCTGTCAATTTGCCGTTTGTCCAATTTGGTTTAAGTTTCCAGGCTCAAGGAGAGAATTATACGACTTGGATAAAGTGAAACCAAGAGTTAGCATCTGTGATTGCTCTCACCGTGTATGTCACTGCGAGGCTGGTTATGGTTCCTTGGCCTATCATGAATGACAAAGTACGCAGAATAAGGAAGATATACACAGCAATCTTGGATTTGTTGCAGGCAAGAACACCTGCAGGAATAAACAATATGACACCAATTAAAGACATATGATTAATATCCTGTGAAACTCATGAAAACCTTGACATTCTAATGTCAAATTCCTGCAAGCAGAGAGACTAACACTTAACTGATATAAGCTTCCAAAATAAGATAGAACAGGTATAGCTACCATAAGGGATGATGGAAGTTGAGGCAGTGAGTAGGAGGAGAGGCTTCCGGCCATATTCATCAGCTAGCTGCCCCATCAAAGTGTATCCTACAGCCCTGAAAATCCCTCCCACCTGCATTAACACAAGAGTTTCCAATCAATTGTTCACTTTCAGTTGTCACTTGCAGACTGATTCTTTCAGATAAAATCAAGAAAATGGTCAACTCCATTTTCATCAATGAAAATGTTATGCATCAATCATATAGCATAAGCATTGGCAACCAGTAGTAATATAATCCCTAATGCATCGAGTCAAAGTTTCTTCTGAAACTAGCAAAAGAAAGAAACTGAATTTAGGCATCATCATGTGATTTCATTTTTCAGATAATGAAAACTTTAGCGAACTCAGTTAATTACACCAAGGTGGTACAATTGTTCCGATAATACTCCCGACCTCTGCATAGCTACGATGTATATCACTGAACAACAATAATGTCTTACAGGAAAGGAGGGACACCACTGCATAAGAGGGAGATGATCAAATGAGAGCTGACCGTTTGATGGAGGCCGGTGAGGTAGATGGCCTCCGGGCAGGCGATGTCGGCGCCGGGGCAGAGTGCTCGGGTGGTGACGTCGACGAGCACAGGCACCGTCATCTCCTCGGCGACCCAGTACATGACCAGTCCAAGCAGCAGGTGCATCAGTGGCTTCAGAACCCTCACATCTCCTCCTACCTTCTCCTCCATGTTCACCTTGTCTCCTCCTCTTCTGCACCTGCACCTCAACAAAGTGTCTCCTAATCCAGTAACTGCTCCCTGTTTATCTTCCTAATTAATCTGTTGGTTTTATTGGCCAAGAGCAGCATGATTCGTGAGGTCCAGCTTCAAATATAATTAGAGCATGTCACTGTCCTGTTTGAGTGCTTTTGTTGATGATTTCCATTGTTTAGCAAGTGCCGACCGCCCAAAAGGCAGATTAATCCGATTGTTTTGGCCAGGATTGATTATATATTCAACCTATGGTTATTATGCTTTTGTTTGTAGCGTTTGGTCAATGATAAAAACCACCTGCAGCTAATAAACACAAAAGCACATTGCTTTTGCTGTAAAGCAACATTATATTATTATTGCCTTCACACAAAAGTGATTGGGCGACAAGATTTTCAACTTGTTGTTATGTATCTTTGCCCTTTTTCCATTTAAAGATTATACATTTGGTCCTTTTTAATGTTTTCTAGGATATTTAGGTTTTTCTGTAGTGTATATATTTGTTCACAGCAACATGGATGACGTTACAAAATGTAAGAAACATGGGTGTGTGATGTCTATGATGCAGACTATGTAATTGCCCCCATCACCTTCCATCAGCCATCTTCACCACTGCTGCCCCTTCCAGCTTACTCCCTCCGTTTTAGATTATAAGACTTTCTAGCATTGCCCGTATTCATATAGATGTTAATGAATCTAGGTACACATCTGTGTCTAGATTCATTAACATATATATATATGAATATGGACAATACAAGAGAGTCTTATAATATAAAACGGAGGAAGTAATTAATTTCCACGTCTCATCCTCAACCTTCAATTGACCTTTTTCATTCAATTTGTGGGGACCATTTCAAACCAATATATTCAACTTGCAATTCAGGAAATATTGCAGTTTTCCCCCCAATTTGACAAGGAATACTTTCAACTTGCATAAATCGCTTTCGCCCGGCCGCTTTTCTCCCCTTCCAATCTCCAGTCCCAAATGAACCACTTTGAATTTGGATGAAAAAGTTCAACTGAGCAAAGGATTCACCATTAATTATTGCACATGAATACGTTCCTACCAGCTGGTACTCTGCTGATATCTTATAAAACCCTATTTGGGGATTCTAATTATGATTGGGTCCTGAATTCAACAAGCCCTCTGAACAGCATCTAAGATCTGATTATATTGCACATGGAGATCCAACAAAAACAAAACAGTTAGGATCAGAACACATGGATACCAATACATGAGGCAGGTTTCTGTTGCATTAGATGGCGAGGAATGCTCTTCAGGTAATCTCGCTCATGGTCATAGTGATACAACCAAGACCAATTGAAGTGAAGAAATTTGTAGAAAAACTTGTGTTCTTTGGATGATCCCTTGGGAAGATAGAAAAGAAGTAATCTTGCATGTTAGGCTCATCCAATCTCTTAGAGTTGGACCAATACCAATATGCTCTGATAACTCCTGCATAGCACGAAAAAAAATACTTCAATTGTCTGATTTTGTTAAGGATGAATTAACATAGTGAAGTTGCACTATTAACAACATACTTCGGTCTCTCACATGATCTGAAGGTAGGAAGTAGGAACCAATATCTCGGTTAATATGATTGGGTTCTCAATTTAGTAAGCACCAACAGCTAGATCAGATACTGCACGTAGATAAAAATACAGGAGAATCCCAGAACCATGGTAGAATTTACATGAAAATCTTCTTCCACCTCTTACTTCTTCCGCCTCTTGTTTCGCTTCCTGTCACTCTCATCAGAACTTGATTCCGATTCTGAGCTGTAGCTGTCTGAACCAGACCCTGAATCACTTGAGTCTGATTCAGACGAGGCAGGCTTCTGTTTTTGCATTATTAGCCGTGGCATGTTCTTCAAATACTCTCTCAGAGTCTCTGTGATACCACCCAGTCCAATGGAAGTGAAGAAATTTATGGAAAACCTGGTATTCTTCGGATGATCCTTTGGGAAGATCGAATCGAAAGAATCTTGCATGTTAGGATCATTTAGTCTTTCATTGAGTAGACGAATACCAAGATGCTCTGATAATTCCTGCATAACAAGAAACAAAACCTTCAATTGCTTGCTTTGGTAAAGATGAATCGACATATGTAGTAAAGAAAAGGCATAATTTTAACAGCATACCTGGAAGAGTATTTTTATGAAAATTCTAGAAGATGACGTGGTGTCCTCCTCTGTCAAACGGATGTAAGCTAAAACATGCCAAGGAAGCGCGTCGGTGCCCAACAAATGCGCAAAAAATTTAGCAACATTTCTCAGTTTGTTTGTTTCCAGACGATGTATCATGGAATATTGTTGCACGAAACATTTCTCAAAGTTATCTTGGTAAACTTTGTTAATCATGCAAAATCGCTGCCCTAGCAATCCATAATATCGCAGGTATGTTCTCTCTTGGCTGCAGCACTCAAGCAGCATGATGCACAATTCCATCTGTTAAATGAAATAAACAGTTAGCTTTGCTAAAAATCACTATATTTTGCAAACTCAGAACTGAAGGGCCAAAGAAATCAATCAGATTATATGAATTGAAGAGGGACTGTTTGAAATCGAGTATTGTGTTGTGCAAAACATGTGCCTGTCTTAGCATAAGAATGTTTCTTCACCATCATTTTTTGTATTGCATGTCGTTCAGTAATAGGATCTAGAATGAGGTAAGTAATTTTGCTTCACTTCAAAAATTTCTAGAAGCTCAAAATAGCTTGTGCAATTTCAGTGACTTCAGAAATTCAAAGAACTAACAAATAAGTTTAGCAACTGAACTACCAATTAGGTTTTATCAATGCAATATGTGAAAACTAGCAGATAATTTTAATCAGTTTAGTAACTGAACCTGAAAGATACATGACAAATGACCATGTAGTACATATAACAGTAGTCTAAGTCGCTACTTGTACACATGAAGCTAAGTCACATGAAAGGAGCACAATAAAGAAAACGGTAATTATAGACCATTCGTAAAACAGATGCATTAACTAATAACTACCCATTGGTGCCTTTTGTTAATCTAATAACTTGGTGCACAATATTCTTGATATACAAACCAGCACCAGAACTATCCGAATGGCAAGTGACTGCGCTGTTGAGACACAACATTCCGTGCATTATCACAAAAATTTGTTCTAGTTTGTTCATGAATTGAAAGATTGGAAAATAGATTCTAACAAACCGTAATGCTCACAGAAGGTGTTGTGTACAAGAAAGCAAAATAAAACACAAAAATAAGGAAATTTAAAAATACCATAGAAATTGAAAAACAATATTATAATACAGAAAAAGAGTCAACCTACAGTACTTACCTCTTGACCAGGCTCAAGTTTAATTTTTAGAAGCTTGTGACCAGCTTCTTCAAAATCAACACTTGACATGATTGTCGAGTAAATGGTTCTTCGAAGGTTAATGAGATTGGTCTCAGTTTGATCCCTAATCTCCATCTGCTCTTCGTCCTCTTCATCATCGGATTCTTCTTCAGCATCCTCATCAGAAGAATCATCAGACCCTTCTTCATCATCAGAAGATTCTGCTCCAAGGATGCTTCTTTTTAGGTTCTCATATGCCTTCTCATCTTCAGCAAAATTTGGATTTCCCCTGAAAACATCTGCAGGTTGGTAAAGGTAAGTGCAACACAACACGGAAGTGTTAAGATACATAGTAAATGCAAGAAAATTTCCAGATTCCTATGGGAACTGAACTGGTGTTTAAAATTCCATTAAAATACCAACATTTCAAAATAACTGAGGCTTTTATGTCATAAATATAGTAAACTGAAAAATGTTTGCATATGAAATAAAACCCTACTTAGATTAGTCTCAGGGTCTAGCTCATCCTCAAGGGATATCTCATGAGTAAATTGATCTTCCTGCTCCACAAGATCCAACTCTGGACGTATAGCAGGGAATCCCTTCACAGATATGATATCATATTGTCAGAATTTGTTATAGGAATGCATAGAAAAGGTAAAGAATTAGGAAAAATATGAATTTACCTGAAATTTAGCCTTTCGAATTGCAAAAAGGCCTTCGATCAGAAACTGCACACGCTTGTCTATTTCACCTTCCTGAAGAATGCCTCGAAATCTTTCAAAAATAGCTGTATAGATTAAGAAGGCGAATCCATTGAGAATGAAAATGGAACAAAATAAGAAAAATAGAGAAGTCATAAGGAGATCAAACAAATAACCAATGGTTCATGTTAGTTAACTTTGAAACAAATAAAAAGCTACATTTAGAAACAGAAAACGTGTTCAAATATCACAGTTTAAGCAGACAGACAAATATAGAACAAAAAGATATCCCCAGAAAATTGTATCCCAAAGAAAGTGTATTGAATTTCAGACAAAATCCAGATCATCCAGGTAAAGCTAAACATAATACTAGTGTAAAAAAAAGGGTCTAGACCTGCACTAAGGTTCACACATCCAATATTCCACAGATGAAATGAAACCGCCTAAGTCCAAAAATATGTCGTGAATACAGATGAGCTAGTCAAAAGGTTTAACAAGTCATTCACTCAAAAGTCATAATAAGCACTTATGGTAACAGCTGATCTGAAAAACTTACCATGAAGCCCTTGTGGAGACAAGTCCTGAAGCATTGCCCCACATTCTTTAACAAAACCCACCGCTACCTACCAGATAAGAAACATATCCATATGCTTCAGATATTGCATAAATGAAGACATGATCAACATAAAAGGACATAAGAAACAAGATATGCACCTCAACACTATCATCAGTTGGGTTCTCAAGCAGTACAGTAAGAAGCTCCAGTGCCACGAGCTCATGAGCAATGACCTGCCTGGTTAACCAAGTGTGCTATGAACTTGGTTGCTGCAAGCAGTTGTGGCTGCAATCAACAAGACAAATAGGTAAACAAACATGCATTACTCTAACATGGTGAAAAATTAACCAAGTATTTTCCAAATGATACTAGTTGTACTTGAGGCAATAGCAGTATTTTACATGTCAAGCTGAAAAGGAGAATTGAGGAAGGTCACCTTGTCGTTTCGCTTATATGCTCTCTTGAGCTGAAGCACGACGCGAACAAGAAGCAGGCGACCAATCTCAGGGAACTTGGTATTCACAATGGCGACGAGCGCAGCAAACACGTCGGTGAAGCCAGGTGAAGCCATCTGCGACTTGATGCACGATTGGCAGAAAAGCCCCCGCCCACGAACCAGGTTCTCGGCGAACAGCTCCGGCACAATATTCTTTACGTTGGTAGCATTCACCTTGTTCACCAGGCCATTGATGCTCTTCTTGAGCGCGTCCCAGCTGAGGCGCTGGTACTCGGCGCTCGACTTGTCCTCCACCTCCCTCATCATCTGCGCCATGCGGAAAGGCGGGATGTAGATCCCTCCTGTGCGCCCTGGTATCATCTCCGGTAGAAGCGGCGGCGGCGGAGTCGGCTCCTTCCTCCTCTGAGGGCTCCTCCGGCGCCGCTCATCATGACCACCCCTGTCCCGGCGGTGGCTCTGGTCTCTCTGCCGCCTCCTGGAGCTCTCGTCATGGCGGTGCCGACGGCTACGGTCATCATCGCCGGAGGACGAACACGACTCTGAGCTGGGGCTCCGGCGGCGGTGGCGCCGGGTGTCGAGGTCGCGCTCGCCGCTCTCGTCGTCAGAGTCCCGCCTCCGGCGACGGCTGTCCAGCTCAGGGGCGGATCTGACTTGCGACATTGGGGTCCAGATCTAGAAGAGAGGCTAGGGTTTAACGCGAATTCGAGGGGGAAAAAAGCGCATGCGTGGGTAGAGAGAGATGAGGAAGAGGATGCGCATAAACGGGGATGGATGCTCACCGGACACCGGGATTGCGGCGGAAGCAGCACGACGGCGGCGCAGCCCTGCTCGGCGGCGGAAGCCGGAGAGGGTGCGCCCCGGCGGCCGCAGTGATGGTATATTGTGACGTGTTTGGATCTGGACCGTTCTTTCTCGATCGGACGGATGAGGAGAAAAGTTACACAAACAAAACAAAATACACAGTGGTAATTACAGTATCACGGCCCATCATTTCGCTTATGTGAAATGTCATATTTACAGATGAAACATAATTTATAAATAATTTTTTATACACATGTTCTTAGCGATATAAAAACAAAAGCTAAAAAATAAACTTTGATGAAAAGACCCAAAATCAACTCCAAATTGAAAGCTGAAACTTCAAATTTTGGATGATAAGTATAAATAGTATAAGCGAAAAGATGAGCCCATCAGTGTTGGCCTTGTACACTGAAATTCTATTTCACCACGTGTCTAACACAAGAAAAACACTGTACACTAGCTGAAACACACGATATCACGATTGATTTACAAGGACAAATGGACAATGTTTATGGCTGATGAAAAAGAAAAAAAATAAAAGACAATGCTAAATGTGGTGAAGTTTCCTTTTCTTCCATTCATTCTTAACAGTGTGAGATATATATAGCCTACAGCTCGTCGGCCGGATGGCCGCCGCCGCCGCCGGCGGCGGAGGCTACTGTAGCAGCTGGCTCGCCGGCGGCCAAGCTGTGCAGCCAGACCTCGTCGCGGACGGTGGCGAACTGGTCGTCGTTGCGGTGCCACGTCCAGACGGCGCTCGTCTCGTTCAGGACCCTCAGCCGCCCGTGCCCGAAGCTCGCCTCCCTGAACTCCGACAGGTGCGCCGACTTGTGCCCCTTGATGAACCTTCATCAAATTTAATTAATCAAAGTTCAATTAACTAAGCTAATCACACATATAATTAACGTTATCAACTACGCAGATATAAATAGTTAAGGCATAGTTAGTTCCCAAATTTTTTTCCTAAAAACATCACATCGAATCTTTGAACACATGGTTAGAGGGGAAATCGCGAGACGAATCTTTTGAGCCTAATTAGTCCATGATTAGCCATAAGTATTACAGTAACCCACATGTGCTAATAATGGTTAATTAGGCTCAAAAATTCGTCTCATGGTTTTCAGACGAGTTATGAAATTAGTTTTTTCATTCGTGTCCAAAAACCCCTTTCCGACATATGATGAGATCGTGAAGCTTACTTGAGAGCAAGGCCTTCCCTGTTGCCCCCGTCGCCAATGGTGATGTACATTGGGCCCCGGCTGTCAGCCTCGTTGTCGTAGATCCTCGTCTAATTAAATCATTAATCACCATGATTAAGAGCTCAACTTCACCATTAATTAACATCATGCAAGTGTTAAGACTTACGAAGCGCTCGTAGGCGTGGACGTGGCCGGCGAAGACGACGTCGACGCGGGCCTCGTAGAGGAGGCTCTCCATGGCGCGGCGCATCCGCTCGCCCTCGCCCTGGTGCGCCTCGTTCGTGTTGTACCACGGCGCGTGCACCAGCGCCAGCAGCCACGGCGTCCGCCGCCGGTCGACGCCGGCGAGGTCCCGCTCCAGCCACGCCCGCTGCGGCGACCCTTCCTCGAACTCCGCGTAGGATCCCAGCATCACCACGTGCGCCGCGCCGCCCGCCGCGTCGAACGAGTAGTAGAGGTTCGACGGCGAGCCGCTCTCCTCCCGCGGCATCCGCCACCGCGCGTTGTACGCCGCGAACGGCGCGATCCCCACCACCGGCAGCGCCTCGATCTCGTGGTTCCCCTCCGTCACCATCCACGGCCGCGCGCTCGCCAGCGGCTGCACCAGCCGCCCGAACGTGTCCCACAGCGGCTGCTGCGTGTCGGCGTACGACAGGTCGCCGGGGAGCAGCAGCACGTCGTAGTCGCCGCCGCCGCCGCCGATGTGGGACAGCGTCGACGCCGTCCACTTCGTCTGCCCGAGGTCGCCGACCACGACGAACTCCACAGGCAGCCTCGCCGGAGGCGTCCTGAGGGTGAACTCGTCGCCGGCCTTGCCGCACCGGTAGTGGTACGTCGTGCTCGCCTCGAGCGGGCCGATGGTGGCGTGGTGGATCGCGCCGGACTTGTAGAGGAAGTAGCGGTACGTGGTGTGGTCGCCGGTCGCCGACGCCGTGTACTTCCCCGGCGACGTCCCGTACTCCACCACGGACGGCGCGTTCAGGTCGTCGGTCACCCATGAAATCCTCATGTTCTTCTCCCCCACCATCGAAATGTGCACCTGATTATCATTGGCAACCATGTCAAAGTTATTACCGAAACATTAGGAATCAGAATTATGCTGGATAATAATTTCAGCTGCAAATTCTCTTTGATTAAAACTTATGTAAAGCTCCCAGCTACTATGTCATACTGCAATGTAATTTTGTTGTCTGTACTTCACATTGTAACGTTGACAGGTTGATAGGAAACGTGGAATTAAATCTTCTGTACTACTGTATTAGGTGTCAATTTGTATTTGTGTCTGATTATGAAAGTTTGAAAATATGTTACTGTAAACAAAGGACACTCTTTGCCTCTGATTCTGAAGAAAAAAAAAAGAAGCAGAGTTCAAGCATAAAAGAACTCTGCAAAGAATGATGATGAAATCATGAGACAAACAGAATTCGTTTGCCACTGATCAATCTTGGGATGGATCATGGATGAACTTTTTATTGAAAAAAGACGGGAAAAGCAATGAAGCATTCAGAACAAGAAAACTCCAAGTGCCAAACTCTGTCAGACTCTGCACACTGCAAGTCTGCAACACCCAGAGATGAACCCGCACCTGCTGAGGATGCGACGCCGGCTTGCCGTGCGCCGTGAGCACCAGCGGGCTCGGTGGCGGCCGGACGTACTCGTCGGCGCCACGCGCGCACAGGAACACCAGCGACGTGATCCCCTGCAGCAGCAGCCTCCACGAGCTCGCCATGGCGCCCACCACCGCGTCGCCGAGGACCGTCCCCGTGCAGCTCCGCCCGAGCGCCGCCTGTTCCAGGCACCACGCGCACCGCGCGTTCACGGCGGAGAAGGCGGCGCCCGCGACGGCGACGAGGCTTCTCGCCGGAGCAACCACGGCGACGCGGAACGCAACCCGTATCAGCGCGAGCACCCCGCGGGCTATTATACACGCGAGCAGTAGCGTGCGGACGAGGAAAACTACAGTTATCTGCAGCTTCTTACGCGTGTCGCCTCGATCGCACGAGCTCGCCGCCATCGCGGCCGTCGCCATCATCATCGGTGGCCAGCCTGGGCTGAGCCCGGAGGAGGAGACGACCTGGGAGAGGAGAGCATAATTGCACGTCATTAGGATTTTAATAACAATTAGGAAGACTTTGGATTAGGGCATATCCTCGGAGATATGCCATGGTGTTTCTTGCCGCTCTCTCTCTTGCTGTCGTGCGTGCGTGCGTGCACCTGGCATGTGGCGTGGACGACATCGTCGGCGGTGGTTGCCGGAGAGGAGGAGGAGGCCGCCGTGTGCGGTGGTGGTGGTGGTGGAGGTGGGGAGGAGGAAGGAAGGAGATAGGTAGGCTGGGGTTGGCATTTTGCTGCGTGATGCAGGGATTTTTGCACTTTGTGTGTGTGGTGTCTCTGTTTTTTCTCCTTCTATAGGTAGTGTTTCGTTTTTAATAAAGTTATAAGATACGGGAAAATAAGAAACCATTAACATAATTAATTAAATTTTAATTATTACAAATCTAAAAATTAGATTTATCTTATAGTTTAAAAGAATTTATATACAGAAAGTTTTCGTACAAAATACATCGTTAACGGTATGAAAAATGTTTTAACGAAAATAAAGATAAAATTTGTATCTTAATTAAAAAATAAAAAAAAAAGAACAGTGCCTATATCGATTTGTGATGAAAGGGGTTGTCACGGTTTTGTGAAGTTGGCAGTGGACACGTCAGCCTTCTAGGTGCATCTGACAGGGATGTGGTTACGGGCTTTTGAACCTTTGATGGGTGAACGGAATATTATCAGATGCTGTTTTGGGTGGCTGAGAAAATCTAAGTTTGGAAGCAATAGTAGTAGTATATTATTAAGCCATCTTGATCATGAAACGTGTGCTTTGCTAATTTATTGTTGAACACATGATTTACCGGATAACTGAAATGGCTAATACATGCGTTTGTCATGATTTACCGGATGTAACTGAAAAGGAAAGCAGCAAAACCTGCAACAAAGTGAACGCCCGATGCTCGCCCATGGCAGAATGCGTGCACGTACGTTTTTTATGCGTGCCGTGTCTGAACGGATGTGGGTTCTATGCAGGTATGGAGCTTGGATGATCACTGGAGATACTGGTAGCTTGTTTGTCTTATCCAGTATAAATTCTCATTTAACTTAAAGAGATTTACTCTCGTCTGGCAGCATGTACCGGCAGGTAACTAGTATCGGGAGGTAGAAGATCAAATCTGGCCATCCATCTTGAAAGGATACGATTGGAAACAGAAAGAGCAAGAGAAGCGGAACAATTCCGGAGTCGCGCCGCCGCTTTCCTCCCTGCGCTCTTTCTTTCCTCCCTCCCCGCATCGCTTCTTTCTCATCTGTTCCTCCCTACGAGCGCAGAAACGGAGCAGTTTTCCCGCCGGCCGATTTGATCCCCATCATCTACTGTCGGTGGCCACAGTACTGGAGAATACCTCACGGCGCGCTCGCCCCGCATGCAATGTCAAGAGCAGAAGCAGATGGTGGTTCTTTGCCTTCATGCATGCTTCAGCTCTAGCAAACCAGATAATGACATTGCATCAATTGATTCAGGCAGGAAAGAAGGCGCTCTGCTCGCTGGTACCGTGACTTGACTTCCTCAAGGATATATGGATGCTCCTCGGCAATGGGTTGGGGCCAGAGCTCGGGAATTCTGTCACCGGGGAGTTCGTTGTTGCTGAGCGGATGTGGAGCCGCAGCTGCGACGGGAACGGGATGAAGGTGCTCCACAACAGTGACGGGAAGGGGAGACGCCGCTGCGATGAGCCGCTGCGACGACGGGAAGCGGAACCACCGCCGCTGCGATGGGCAGGGGAGCCGCCGCTGTGATGGGCCGCCACCGCGCCGAGAAGCGGAGCAGCCGCCGCTGCAATGGGCAGGGGAGACACCGCTGCGATGGGCCGCCGCCGCGACGAGAACCGGAGCAGCCGCCGTTGCGGCGGGCATGGGGAGATGCCGCTGCAATGGGCCGCCGTTGCGGACGGGAAATGGAGCCGCTGCCGCCGCCGGGACGGGAAGCGGAGCCGCCGCCACCACCCACTAGATGCAGACCCCACCGCTTCATGGACAAATTTGTACCTGCAGATATCAGATAATTTCCATCGTCCAATCGAGCTGAATGAATGGCTGAGATTTGGTACCTGCTGGTACCGTGGTACCTGCTGGATGGGAGCAATGCTCTAACTTAAAAGATTTTATAGAGTGTGTCTTTTTTTAACCTCTTTAATACTTCCTCCGTCCTAAAATATAATTTGCTAATCACCAACCTGTCGGAGGTCCAAACTCTATTTTGGATTATCATCCCGGTGAAGTTTTGCACTTACGTGGTGTCCAGGCTTTCTAAATTAGGTTATTGAAGTTGGTAGCAGTGGTGCCGAGGAGTTATCCGTTGTAGGCCGACGTTGATAGGATTATGAAATAGTTAAGGAATTGGCGAAGCTAGGTTGATGAGGATGACGGTGTAAATATATACTCCCTCCATATTTTTTAAGTTCCCTTCTAGTGTCAGGAGAAGTGTTTACTGTGTTTTCTTCAACAGCCCTGCATGTTGCTTTGTTACCCTTTTATTCCTTCCATCTTAATGAATTTTCGTCCGCTTTTACTGGACCGGTGAAAAAAAGTTATAAAAATACGGCCCGGTGAAAAAAAAAGTTATATCGACAAATGCTCAACTCTTTTCTTCGAGAATTCTAATAGTTCACCACCGAGGTCTTCTGGTGTATTTTTGAAAGAGTGGTGAACATGGCAAGCTGCTAGCTTTGGAGTTTGGAGGCATCACGATCGAAGAGGTATATACCAACGTTATCATAGTAGTGCAATGTAGTTAGGCGTTTGTCAGTACGAACCTTTCCCTGTTCTAGGATTGGGTATGTGTCCACAACAACCATGTTTATTACTTTGTATAACAGCATAAAGTTTGAATGACTTCCTCCGTTTTATCTTGATAAATCTCTTTGATCAAATTTATTGAAGAAATATAAAATATTTTTATCATAAAACGAAAATATTATTAAAAATATATTTAGTGTTATATTTAATAAAACTAATTTAGTGTTGGATGACTTAAATAAGTTTTACTTAGAAAAAAAATCAAAATAACTTGTATAATATAAAACATGGGAAGTAATATTATTTTGGTAGCAAAGCATGACCCAATGCAGCTAGATTTTTTTTTGGGAATACACTAGAAGTGTATCTTTATTAAGAGAAATAAAAGTTATTTACAAGAGATACAAGATTAAAGAGAACAGGGTACTAGAATGCAACAGGGACTTAAGAGTACAATCTCACAACCAAATTGAACGACCTAGCGACCCTAGAAACTAGAGACCAAGCGCCAAAACTGTCGCCTTTGCTAGGCGCCACAGCTCCGCCTCCGCGGTTATAGCTCTTGCAATTTCCGCCCAGGGTCATGTTGATGTAAAAACACGAGGCCTGGGAGATCTGCTTAACTCCAGTGCAGGTCCAAAACTCGCCTTCGGGTATGCTAGCGTGCCGGTTGATTTGATCATGCAATCAACAAGAAACAAAGACAAAGAAACCGCGGTTAAATCCATAAACGATAGCCGATCGGCTAGGTGCCAATGACATATCATTTATCTTTGAGCCGATGTCATATATGCATCGATCGGCAAGCATTAATAAATAAAACAGAACTAAATCTACTCGATCGGCTGTAGATATTAACGATATATAATTCTTATATCGATATATACTTAAATCAAGTGATTGGGATAGGTCGGTCGCCATGCCGAGACAGTATAAATCACTTAGATCGAAATATATATTAATAATAAGATTATATATGTTCATAGCATAGCTGATCAGATAGATCTAGCATGTATCGGCTAATACTCCGATACCGCTCTATACTAAGATATCAAAGCAAATAGAATATATCAAACAAAAGACTAATATACTTAAATGCAACAAGATCTTAACATAAAGGATAGATTCAATATATCAGCGAAGCACATAAGATAAAAGGTAGGTAAATCAGGTAAGATCGGCTGAAACTCCGATACTACCCTAATCGGCAACCAAGAAGCAGGCTAGAGATTAAGATTCTAATCACGACTCATAAGATCAAACAACTGATGCAGCTATAAGTATGAAAAGAAGGACGATATCTAGACAATCAAGCCATTGAAAGTTTTATAGAGTGGTAGATATCATATATAATCTAAACCAACGTCGATATTTAACCTAATCGGTTGCCCTCTACTAGCAGATGTTAGCCGATTGTAGGTTAGATGACGATATTGCCATAGATTATATAAGATATATGATAACTCGACGAATTACATAAACAAAATTAGAGTATCATAAAGATGGAAGCACTAATCCCGAGAACGCAAGCCGCCATAACAAGTTTTACCTCTTGTTGAAGATCGAAACCGATGCAGCTCAACCCGAAAGCAAGAACTCGTCGAAATAAAACGAAAGCAAAAAGGGTGGCGATGCGCCGAGATTGTATTGAACGTGTGTTAATTTTATTACATGGGGCTCGGGGTCTATTTATACCCGAGAATTACACAATATGTCCATATCGGACACGACTCTTATCTCTAACAAACTCTAAGATACCATAAGTCTTTGCGGCAGACTTTTACCCAAACATATCTCTAAGGAAATTACATAAATTATTCTAATTAATAGATACAATTGCCTTCTCAGGACTCTATCTATGCATGGCAATCATCTTGAAGCATATCAACTCAACCCGATGACGTATACCAAGTCGTATTGTCGGAATCGGCTGTATCGTCTAACCCAGTCTGACTCGGACTTAGCCGATCCCGATTGTAGCCAATTTGGACTCCAGCCGATTCTTACTCTGTTTCCACAACGATCTTCGTTTTTAATTCCACTTCGATCTAATCTTCGTCTCCGATACTGATATTACCAAATTTGGTCGTTAACAGGTCGCTGCTGGAGATTGAACACCCGATTGTTCCTCTCTTTACAGATCGTCCATTCTACCAAGGTCGCAATGGTGCCGAATCCCCGACGCCGATCCTTCAAGACTTTCTTCCTGCTAAGGCAGAGCCACTGATGGAAGGAAGCCTCTTGCAGGGGAGGCAATCCGGTCACTGAGAGTGCCCACCGGGGGCGGAGGTAGAGTATGGGAGGGGGGGTGCCCAGAAACCCGGTCAAGTAAATTTTTTAACTCACAGATTTTCATCATGTTTGTATCCCCTCAATACAAGCTTAGGCACACGTATCAACTTAAACTTGATTTTAGATGGAGTAAATTAAGCAAGAGGCACATTCCTCCATTTCGTTCTAGCTCCACCCCTGATGCCCACCACCAGATCGAGTTGACGGGATTCAGGGCAGCCAACCAAGATGTGATCTATACTCTCATCCTGTTAATCGCATAGAACACATCGGACGGAGTGGGGCAGCCCACGACGACGAAGACGATCAGCAGTCTAACACCTATTCATTGTGACCAACCAAAAGAAAGTGAGAAAGCGAGGAGGGGCCAGAGACTTTCAAGTTGGCGCCTCTTGGAAACGGTTCCTTCCTATGAAGATGGCATGGTACGCCGAACCGGAGGAATACGTTCCTGTCGGACTCCATTTCCATGAGAAAATGCAGCTATATTTATCCGGGATTTAGATTTTCTTCTGCTCCGCCACTGGACGAAGTCACGCATGGACTGCTGTAAGCCTGTAACTCGAGAAACCAGTCGATTGCGCAGCCAGCCAGGACTTGGAACGAAGGGAACAGAACAGATCAGAGACGAAGACGTACACCAATTTTCACGGACCAAAAAAAAAAAGAAAAGCAATCCGTTATTATGCCAAAATGGAACCCAGGGGGAGGTGGGCCCTGTCAGTGGCCCGTGGCTAGCAGATGTGGGGGCCAGGCGAGGTGATGACTGATGAGAGCCAGGCAGCCACCACCGCCGTTGCATTGGTACGTGTCGATCAACTGAGCATGCGTGCGGTTCGTTCCTCACGCGCAAAACCGAACCGCCTGCCGAACAACGCGCAACCTCTCTCTCTCTCTCTGTTTCTTTCTTCTAGAGTTCAGACTGGAGAGGCTGGAACAGAGTGCAGTAAAACCAGGCACCGTTTAGTTCCTCAAAATTTTCTTTTACCAAAAACATCATTTCGAATCTTTAAAACAAACGAGTTATAAAATTAGTGTTTTTTATTCGTATCCAAAAACCCCTTCCGACATCCTATCAACTTTCGATGTGACATCTAAGAATTTTTATTTCACCAACTAAATAGGCCTTAGTCACCTAAAGTTGACTAAACCACATATCCAAATCCCCAGATTCGCACCTGAAATCAGATGCATCCGAAACTGGATTCCTCCACGGCACATTATCAATCATCATTAATCATTAATTAGCTGCTTGCGTTGGCAAGGCTGTCCTATATATACACGACGCCACCCTTCCATGCTAGCCATAACCGCCCTTTTTCATTTCATATCTATCCCCAGTGCCCCATTTCAGATTTGGCGAGACCAGCCATGGCGATGGCGATGACGAACACAGCATTGGCTTTCTTCCTCCTCGTCGCCGCCGCATCCCTCCTCTCGCTGCCGCCGCCGTCGCTCGCCGTCACGTCGCCGTACGTGCGCCCCAAGCCGAGGGCCACGCTGTCTCTGCTCAAGGACGACGACGACGGCCGGAAGCCGGAGCAGGTACTGAGTTTTTTATGTTTTTGATGACGGATTTGGCCGTAGTGAGTTTGAAATCTTCAAATAATTTTCATGCGTCAGTTCAATTTCTTAATATTTCTCAAATTTGCATGGTTATGTGGCTTTGCTCTTTGTTGGCCATCTAACTCAAGATTCAGTGTTGAGTGAAAGAAATGGTTTGGTCATCTTTGGTGCAAGAGTCCACCCAACCATAGTCTCATGTTGAGCAACCTGTTCTTTTTTTTAAGGAAAACCTGAGATTCATGTGACACAGCCTGGAGTCCCTCGTGATTATGGATTATATTAACCTAGGAAAGTGCAAAGTAGGAACGGATTATGCTTCATGGTTTAAATTTACCAACTTGGAGTATATCCTGGAACAAGAAACCGATTAATTTGCCAACTAATTAATCGGCATCTGTTTAGTCTAAATCTCACCTCGATCGATAAGGCGACCACACACAAGGAACAAGAAGCTCCTTTGGGTTTCTTGCTTTCCCACTCGTCTTGTTGTTTATCATTTCTGGCCATGTCGGCATGCTGGTTCGGCCGAGGTGTTATCTAGTGCTTGGCTGTTTCCTGCTCCATGATCACGAGCCCCTTTCGGTGGTTAGTGTTGCTGATACTGCAATTAATCACCATTGACACGGCTTCAAACTCTTGAGCCATGCATTCTCCATATCTTTTTTCTTCTTCTTTTTCCAGCAAATTAAACCATTAGTAGGAGTATTCAATTGGCCTGCCGCCCGCGTACGTGTCAGATTTCAGTATGGTCCTCGTGGAAACAATTATTGCAAACATACTACTCCACTGTACTGCCATGGGACAGCTCATGACACTATCAGGAGGCACTCTTAAAAATACTCATGTTTGCATTAGAGATTAGATAAGGGTTCTTTTGTGTTTGTGCAAGTTATGGTTGTAGGAAAGAAAGAAAGTATTTATTCTCGAGATAAGAAAAGAGAAAGTATTTATGAAAAGGAATAAAAACACTGCAACAATATAGAAGCTGAAGAAAGAAAGTCATTGGTAGTATATCCTGTAGACAGTTGCAGGCAGCAATTGCAAAATTCAGATATGTCAAGAAGAGACAGACGATATGTTCAGTCATGATGCTGACTTTAATTTTGCTCTTTTTTTCTTCAAGCCATAAATGGTAAAGGTGGCCTAACCAAACACTCCAAATCTAACACTCAATAACGTTTCTTGTTCGTTTTTGCCTTGGGAGTTTATGTTTCAAACTCTTCAACAACCTGTTAATATAGTGAGGTGGCTGGTCCGGTTTTAGTCGATCTGGTGAAGAAATGCTAGATGTTTCTGTTACGCAGTTGCATGAAGCAAGAAGCAAAAATATGCTTCCCAAGTTTAGTCACTGTCAGTACTGTATGACATGGCTTAGTACTGACAGAGAAGAGAACAAATCAAGGTTGGACCAATGTTCTGTCCAATGTTGAGTCAGTGAACAAAAGTCAACACGAAACTATGTGCTCCTATTTATTCACCTCAATTTATCATTCTGTTCATGATTTAGTCAGTACAATAATTTATTAAAACAGTGGTCCTTATTGATGTACACATATTACTTCATGTTTAGACAGATGTACACCTATGATTTAATCAAACATGGATATCTTAAATTACAATATAGGTTACTGTCTTGTTCATGGATCATCAAATTTTCAAAAAATACAGGCATCATCAAGTTGCATGGATGAATACAACTTATCAGTAGAATGCAATCCATGAATCTCATTTCAGCAAGATGCCTGTATTTTTTGATCCATGTCACTCTCATCTACTGACAATACAGGCATCATCAAGTTACATGGATATATCCATGTCACTCTCATCTTGTCAAAAAATACAGTCATGTCAGTAGAATGCAATCCATGAATATCATTTCAGCAAGATAGTAAAAAAAATATATGACAAGTAAAATGTGCTAATTAATTCGAAAGGTAGCCTGAACTCGGTGTACAGTTCAGATTCTCACTGAATTGGACCAGAATTCCACTGAAATGTTCTTCAGATAACTGAAATGCTTGACGACCTCTCTGAAGAAACTTCCTATTTTGGATGGAAATTTTCAGGTGCACATATCAGCAGTAGGCTCTGACAAGATGAGAGTGACATGGATCACCGGCGGCGACGCGCCGGCCACCGTGGAGTACGGCACGACCTCCGGCCAGTACCCGTTCTCGGCGACCGGAAGCACCAACACCTACTCCTACGTCCTCTACCACTCCGGCAACATCCACGACGTCGTCATCGGCCCACTGCAACCCAGCACCACCTACTTCTACCGCTGCAGCAACGACACCTCCCGCGAGCTCTCCTTCCGTACGCCGCCGGCGAGCCTCCCCTTCAAGTTCGTCGTCGCCGGTAAGCTTAGCTGCACTGCATGTGTTCGAATGCTTGTGTGAGCTTCGTGACATCGTGTTTAGTTCATTGTCAAAAGAAAATATTGACGTATATGGATATACATTTTAAGTTTAAACGTAGACTAATAACAAAACAAATTACAAATTCCGATTGTAAACTGTGAGACGAATCTTTTGAGCCTAATTAATCTGTCATTAGCATATGTGGGTTACTGTAGCACTTACAGCTAATCATGACGTAATTAGGCTTAAAAGATTCGTCTGGCGATTTACAGTTGAACTGTGCAATTAGTTTTTCTTTTTTTGTCCACATTTGATGTTCATACCTGTGTCTAAACATTTGATGTGACGGAAAAGTTGAAATCTAGACACAGCACTGACATGTCTCTCATGGCGGACGTTCCAGGTGATCTTGGGCAGACGGGATGGACGGAGTCGACGCTCCGGCACATCGGCGGCGACGACTACGACATGCTGCTGCTCCCCGGCGACCTGTCGTACGCCGACCTGTACCAGCCGAGGTGGGACACGTACGGCCGCCTCGTGGAGCCGCTGGCGAGCGCGCGGCCATGGATGGTGACGCAGGGGAACCACGAGGTGGAGAGGATCCCCCTCGTGGAGCCCCACGCGTTCAAGGCGTACAACGCGCGGTGGCGCATGCCGTTCGATGCCGGCGCGTCGCCGTCGGGGTCCAACCTCTACTACTCCTTCGACGTCGCCGGCGGCGCCGTGCACGTCATCATGCTGGGCTCCTACGCCGACTACGCCGCCGGCTCGGCGCAGCACCGGTGGCTGCGCCGCGACCTCGCCGCCGTCGACCGCGCCAGGGCGGCGTTCGTGGTGGCGCTGGTGCACGCGCCGTGGTACAACAGCAACGAAGCGCACCGGGGCGAGGGCGACGCCATGCGCGCCGCCATGGAGGAGCTCCTCCGCGGCGCGCGCGTGGACGCGGTGTTCGCCGGGCACGTCCACGCGTACGAGAGGTTCGCGCGGGTGTACGGCGGGAAGGAGGACCCGTGCGGCGCGGTGCACGTGACGATCGGCGACGGAGGGAACCGGGAGGGGCTCGCCGGGAGCTACGTCGACCCGCAGCCGGCGGCGTCGGCGTTCCGGGAGGCGAGCTTCGGGCACGGGAGGCTGGAGGTGGTGAACGCGACGCACGCGCTGTGGACGTGGCACCGGAACGACGACGACGAGGCGGTGGTCGCCGACCAGGCCTGGATCACCAGCCTCGCCTCCAACCCGGCTTGCAACAAGTGACCCCATCAATCCATCAGAAATTCAGAATGTAGCAGAAACAGATTTATGAATTATATAATTATATAAGTTAATTTATTGCATTGATATCGATAATTAGAAATTTAGCATTAGTACTTCTACAGTTCTATGTATGTTAGAAGATACTCTATCTGTCACATAACTTAGAACGAGATGTGAGCCTCTCATACTGATTTGTTTTTCTTATGATAGAAACCCAAACACGAGTTAAATCATTAGCGTATGATCAATTAAGCATTAGAAAAAAACAAAAATAGATTAATATAACTTTTCAAAGTAACTTTCCTTGAGAAAATTCTTACAAAAATCACAGTGCTTAACAATTTGAGAAGGGTGCACGTAAAAAATAAGAGAGTATGGTTAAGAGAGAGGAGTATAGAACACACTATCCTTATATAAAAAGTTTTGAAAATCTAATAGCGACAGGCGCAAACACTTTTTCCTAACTACTCTACTTTCTTCAATTCTATAATTCTTGACGTTTTAGACAAGATTAAAGTCAATGTTTATGACTTTGATCATCAATATATTTAATAATATTTAATTTAAAGATAATATAACAACATATACAAATTTATCTATCTTACGGAGTACTATAATTAAAAATAAAAATAAATTATTTATTACATATATGATAATTAAAAAATATAGTCAAAATATATTTTGAAAATTATATTAATACCCAAAACGTCAAATAATTATGGAACTTGAGGAAGTAACACCGTAAAATGCTGATAATTAAATTACTTGTTGCAATCTCTCTCTGTAACGTTCATTCCGAGACGAACGGAGATGGTTAATGATCTCGGGGGCGATCATTGAGAAATGGCAAAATACTCGCTATAATAACGAAACTGGTAAACCAGATCGAGGCTCGCAACCGGCAAACCCTAACCCTCTCTTATCCCTGCCGCCGCCGCCGCCATCTTCTCTCATCCATCGCCATGGCTGCTGCAGCCCGTAATTACCTTAATCTGGATTTTGACGTTTCCGATACGAAACCTCTCCCTGACTACTGCTTCTCAGAGGCTTCGGAGGTGTGGAGAGCTCATTCTGATCGATCGGATGAGGAAAGGGAACAGGAACAGGCTGTTTTGAGGGTAATTAATTAAGGATATCGAAGCCTCCAAGAAGCTTTAATTTGATTTTCTTTGCTTTGATTGTGCCTGCATATATACACGCACGTATCTTCCATCCTCCGATTCTTTAATTGCATATATTACTTCGTATGAATACATGATTTTTAATTGTACTGCATTTCTTTCTGATCATTTTTGTGTTCCATTCTGTTACGCAATTGGTATATATGCATGATCTTTCTTAAGATGCTTGTAGTTCTACGAAGAGAAGGAAAAAGAGCTGGAGGCAATTGACGATTGTTCTGAAGCCCTAGGCGACGTGGATTGTGATGATGAGGAGGAGGAGGAAGATGAAGGAACATGTGAGGTGATGATATCTACTGTGTGACAGTCTCCATTTGCAGCACAGTTTGAGATTGATCACTATTCATCATTATAATAATTAATTCTTGGCTTAATTGGTTGCATCTGTTCATCATCTGCAGCTATGCATGAATGAAGGGTTGGCACCAAGCCCGAGAAACCATGGCGAGCACTTGTGCCCAGTGTACCTGGAGATGGTAAATCAGCAAATTCTGGAGGAAATAAAGGATCAAGACCTTCACAATGTAAGTATTCATGATTAGTTCGTTAAGTTTGCTTTGTCATTTTTTTTCTTCTGATTTTAGTGGCTAGTTCAGTGTCACACGTTATTCATATTGACAGAAACGATGACATTAGATTCTTCTGTTTCTACGATATACTCCCTCTGTCCCAAAATAATCTATGAACTTATTAAAGGAATAAAAAAAAGTAGCCTCCACATTCGCTCTCACGGCTTAGAAATTCCCACATTAATCGGAGAAAAAGAAAAACATAGTCCATATAGAAATACAATTTATAAATAGTTAAAATTCAGAATTAAAAAATAATGAATATTGGAAGAGGAGACTAGAGTCCATATAGAAATACAATTAAGAAACAATAGAAATTCGAAATTAAAAATAAGGAATATTAGGAGTAGAGTATAGAGTACATATAGAAATATAATTAAGAAATAATAGAAATTCAGAATAAAAAATAAGGAATATTAGAAGTAGAGTAAAGAATCCATATAAAAATATAATTAAGAAATAATAGATATTCAGAATTAAAAATAAGGAATTTTAGAAGTAGAGTATAGAGTCAATATAAGAATTTAAAACTAACTAAAATTCGGAATAAACATAATAAAATTAAAAGTAGAGTTTAGAGTTCGTATAAAAATACAATTAACAAATAACTAAAATTCGAAATTTAAAAAAACATGGGAAGAAGAGTCTAAAGTCAATATAAGAATACAATTTAGAAGTAACTAAAATTCGAAATTAAAAATTGAAGAATAGTGAAAGATGAGTTTAGAGTCGTCCACATAGAAATACAATTAGAAATAATAAAAATTCATAATTGAAAATAAATAATATCGGAAGAAGAGCCTGGAGTCCATATAGGAATATAATTTACAAATAACTAAAATTTGATATTAAAAATAATTAATAATTAACACGTATATAAAATACAATATGAATATTATACATTAGTAGTTTCGTAAAGGGAGTACAAAATTTAAAATTATGTTGTTATTTTATTAATATATTTGAATAAATAATTGAGAAAACATATATGTTATTATATGACAGGAAATATAATGATGCTAGCCGCGTAATCTGTGCGAGCCACCATACTAGTTTAATCTAAAATAAGATGGTGACGTACGCATTCTAATGAAGTTGGTTTGAAAATCAAATTAATTATTGGTATATGGTATATTGTACATTTTTGTGCTTTTGTGCAAAGGAGGACAACAATATTTTTGAACGTTTTGGAGTCATGGTTGACTGGGAGGATGAGGACGAGGACGATGATGGTGAGGAATTTGAAGAAATCAACAAGGTAATTTGATTTTTGTGTCCAGCCAGTGTAATTAAACAACAGCATATCAGTATTGTGATTTAAATTAGTCGTTAACATAATAGATTACTAACTAATATCTGTAATAATGTTAGAAGTTTATTCAGCTTCTGGGTCATGGAAATGAACTTGCTCGTGAAATAATGGATGGCGCCCCCGCTGCTTGAGGCGCTTGCCACTGGCGGCTGCAGCCGATAATTGGGCTTTGAGTTATTGGGCCTAACTAGCCAAGGCCCAAGGAGCGGAATGCATGGGCTTCGATGGGACCGGCCCACTTTCGATCCCCTGCTTTATGCTCCAGTTTCGAGCAATTCGTGTGTTAAAACAACGGTTAATGTGTTCAACGGTGTATTGCTTGCTTGTCGCCTGCTTGTAGGTCTTTGCTTCTGGTGGTACAATTTCGTCGATTTATGTGCTACATTATATGCAACTTTATATGAAACAATCCAATTCTTGCACAAAAGATTTCCAGCACATCAGAGCCTCAATTTATTGAGGCCACCTTTGGAAGAGAGGATATATATCATTAAGAGTAATTTCACATAAATTAAATTAGTTTTAAGCCTCATTTGAAACAAATGAAAAACCATAGAAATTTCAGAGGATTTTATCCCATAGAAATCTTATGGAACCATTTGAAACAAATAATTGTTTCCTACCAATTCCTTCAAAATTTCAATGAAATGAAACATTCTAGAATAATATTTGGAGAAAAATAAGTATAAGGACCATCTCATGTTTTTCTCTTGTGTTTATAATTCCTGTTTTTTCATTTGTGCTAACGTTTTAAAACTTTTCTTCATTTCAAAATCCTATAGAAATCCAATGAGTATGACATTCTTCTTTATTCCTATTTTTTTTCCTTTATCTGTGTTTCTCAATCCCGTGTTCCAAAAGCCTTTAATTAAAGAACTTGCTACTACTAAAATTCATTTACTACTACAGTGCATGAGGGTAGGTTTGGCACACAGGTTAGGTCAGACATGATGATAGTCGAAACTGCAGCCCGCTAGAGTACTGATGCTGAGCTCACATTCTCTGCTCCCAATGTCCTGCACCAAAATTGACATTCCTAACTGCCCCAGCTCACTCATCACGGTGAGAGCAAGTTCAATAGTATAGTCAACTACTAGCTTCAATTTATCTATAACCAATTTAATAGCTCATTCATACAATAATTACATATTACACTATTAATATCTAGTCCCACCTATTATAGACACACTGCGTCTTAGAGTCTGTGCTACAGCTGGCTATTAATTTGTAGCCCACTGCTCTTCTCTCTCCTGATTTATCTTCTTAAAATATGTTTGTAGCTGACTTATAGCCTGCTATTGTACCTGGCTTACTGACACTGCAACACTGTGCAAGCTTAGCTGTGTTTGCAGGACAACCATTTCCAAGGCTTGTTCCATCCTGTCCCTGTTCATGTTGCTGTCACAAAAATGGAGCTGCTCCTACACTGGAGTAGTAGGCATGATCATTTCCTGTTTACCAAATGCATGCCTTTTCAGAGGAAGATCACGGCAACTCACACTCCAGTTTCGCTCTGTCCGTCCGTCCTCCTGACCGGAGTTGTACACACTGTCACTGTGCCCATACGGATGCAGGATCACTTCCAAAAGTCAACACGTCAGATCAGACTTGAAGAATCCAAATCTTGAAGCCAGGATTATTCTGCAGGTTGCTGCCAATCTCTCCTGTAGGAGTATCTTCGTTTTAACTGCAGTGCAAGATGCAGGGGCTGTGTTTAGGCCGGTCACAGTTCCTGAAAAACGTTGAAAGTTTGGAGAAAGTTGAAAGTTTGGAAAAAAGTTGAAAGTTTATGTGTGTAGGAAAGTTTTGGATGTGATAGAAAGTTGAAAATTTGGGGTAGTTGGGGGTGAACTAAATACGGCCAGGGTGTGTTTAGTTTTACATCAAAATTGGAAGTTTGAAGAAAAAATTGGAAATTTACGTGTATAGAAAAGTTATGATGTGATGGAAAAGTTTAAAGTTTGAAGAAAAAGTTAGAAACTAAACCATCATGAAAACGGCGAGAAGAACTGAAAATTCAGGTGATCCAGGAGGAGGAGGAGGATCACAAGTCAAAATACACAGGAGGAATACAGGAGCCAAAAAGATTTCATTGTATCATGGCCTCACGAAAGACACAAAGTTTGTAAAGGACTGTGAGTCAAAAACCTGAGTCAAACACAGCCTAAATGACAGGTTGAAAATTTTAGGCATCTTAAAGAACAGTAAACAGAAGGCCATGATGCAATGTTTCACATCAGATCTTGGTTCCGAGGAGATGTGCCATGATGGTCGTTGCTGCTGTTACTACTCCTACTCCATACTAGGGTCATTGACGAACAGAAGACATGCACTTGAATGCTGCCTCATCATTTGTTGATGCCTTGGGACAGTAAGAGATCTGTTGCAAAGATCAGCAAAGAGCATTTCGAGTTGGAACTAAAACTCAACAGTGTGTTAAATGTTCTGCTTTCTGTTTTGCCGTCAAGCTAGCTGCTACAGTACTACCCATAGGCTATAAAAGCAGATACAATAGCAGGCTATAAGCCAGCTATAAATATATTTTAAAAAGATAAAAAAAAGAGAGAGAAGAGCAGCGGGCTACAGATTTGTAGCCAGCTGCAGCATGGACTTTAAGACGTAATGTGTGTATGACAGATAGTACCAGGTATTAATAGTATAGTAAGTGACTATTGTACGAATTGGCTATTACATTGGCTATAGATGATTTGGAGCTAATAGTTGGCTATACTGTTGAACTTGCTCTTAGCTGCCTGTGGTTTCATCATTGAACAGTAAATAGGAGTATTAACTGTTAGGATGGGCATTGTTCAGCCTCTAGTCAAACTTGATTTGAAAGCAGTTTCAATTTCACGGTAGGATTTGTTTCACTAGTGCAGGAGTGGTGCTGTGTCCTGCATTGTTCATCGGCAAGCTGCTCCTAGAGTAGTTTGCCACTGATGAAGTATTGATGTTTTGGCCATAAAATGAGGAACTCACTGCTAATACCAGAGTGCTAGTATCTGCATAATGAGGGTTTCCGATATGTATGTGAATAAAATCATACTACTGTATATATGAAGCATGATTGATAGACTATTCAAAACAAAATCACAGCAAGTTCAGAAATCAAGAGTTGTGAAACCTGCATTGTTCATCAGCAAGCTGCTCCTAGACAGAAATTCAACACATCTCACATCAAGTTATTGCTGGTACTAGTACTCATGATCAGAGAGAGTAAAGGCAATCTAGGATGTGGAAGAAGAAGAAGAAGAATTTCCAAGAAGAAGAATTTCCATCGATTGCGTATCTTTGGACGGAACGTGAACTGCGTCATCAATTCATCACCATCATGACCACATTTTCTTGACAGCTAGCTACTCCTCCCTCCTTTACCACAGAGATCGAGTTAAGGCCTTGTCCCTTGTGCAGTTCAGTTGTGCCTGCATTTCTGCTGTTCTTCTGCAGGAAAGAGGAATACTGACGTTACTCTCCTCCGATCCATGCCTATAAATACAGGCACCCCCATTCAAACCCAAACTCCACAGCACAAAGAAGCCAAGAACAAGTTCCGTTTCAAGTTCTCTCTCGCTACTCTTCAGAGATTAGAGATTTTAGAGGTGATACTTACAAGCATCATAGTTCTAGCTAGTATTAGCATGCAAACATCTTTTCTGAAATGATCGAAATTCATTCTGACTATAAATGTTTTTGTCTGAATTTCATTTGTTGATCGATGCTGCAGCAGAAGGGAAGGAAGAGGATCGATGGATCGGGTGACGAACCTGTACCTGGAGAACCTGTGCATAATGCAGGAGAACGAGCGGCTGAGGAAGAAGGCGCAGCTGCTGGACAAGGAGAACAAGGCGCTCCTCGCCAAGCTCAAGCTCAAGAACAACCCCTCCACCGCCGCCGCCGCCGCCGCCGCCTCCTCGCCGTCGTCCCAGCAGCAGCCAGACGCCGGCGCCTCGGCGGCCGCCAGCGTCGTCAAGGCCGGCGCGGCGGCGCCGTCGTCGTCCTATGGCGGGAAGAAGACCAAGTGATGCAGCTAGCTAGCTCGAGCATGCATGGAGATGATGACGTGGATCTTTTGTAATTAGTTGCACTAGCTTAAGTACATTAGCATATTTGATGTTACTAGCATGCAATGCATCATGGAGCATTAACGATCGAGTGTTAGATGATCACCAGGTAGCCAGAGCAGCGTCGTTTTGGACTAATTAAGCTAGCTATTAGCTAAGCTTGCAGTGTTTTGTGCCAGTATTTGCTATCTTCCTGCTGCAAGTATCATGAGATGGTCAATGTGCTAACTCCAGCTCTAGCACTTCCAGTCTAGTATACTGCGTGCTTTGCACCTTATGGAAGTGAAAACCTTTATACGTACTTATTGTTCTTCAAATGATGGATAACCTACAGAAATGGTGTAACTCTACTTTTAGATTTAACACAAAATGCGGTCTTAATGATCTATATGCGGCATTCTCAGCCAAATGTTTCAGCGAGTGAGACCTGAAAACTGCAAGCTAGCTATAAGTACTTCTACATGTGCATAACAAACAGGCCATATGCTCTCTTTCTCAAAAAAAAAGAAAAGAAAAAAGAAGGCCATATGCTCGCTAATGCTAACTCCAGAACTTCCTTTGATTTGTGCACCAATGTTGTGTGATCGACTGATCGTAAGCAGGAGTACTGACACCTGATCGACTAGCTTTGAGAGAGAGAGAGACCTTTTTATTAAAAAGGAAATTACGGATACCTACACCATTGGCACTGTAGGGCTTGTTTATTTTAATGTCATTTTTAACCATGCTATTTTTAGTAAAGTTAAAAAAAATATTGTTTACTTTGTTGTTAAATTTGGTAAATACATAAGAAATCCTGCTAAAATTTTAGCAATATTGCTATCTTGCTAAAAATTTAGTATTGCCAAAACTTAATAAGGTTTATTTTGGCTATAATCTGAACAGCTCTTAAACCCTCGGATCTTACACAAATGTTGATCTGTGTGCAACGTTTCTCACACCCATGCAATGTTTCATAGAGTGAGAGACCTGCAGAAAACCGCAAGGTGCAAGCTAGTTTTGGCCATATAGGAGTAGTTCATTATCACTTCGTCCTAAAAATTAACTGAAAAGGATGAATTCTCATTACCGTTTTTGCAAGAAAAAATGCTACTCGATCAGAGCTATAAAACAAGACATTACTTAACTGTCGAGATTATTTTGGTATTAGAGCCACGGTCCTGTAGCAATTTTGGTCGCAAGAGATAATACTCCATCGTTAGAGCATCTCCAACAGCATGGCTATCTCACTCTTCAAACTAAAATTTAGCAATTTTAAATTAAAAAAAGACTCCAACAAATTAGCTATCTCACTTTTCAAGCTATATGACTGGCCAAACTGAGTTCCTTGCTGGCCAAACTTGGCCAGCCAAAATCGGCTGGCCAACCGCGGGGCCCACACCGTTTCTCTTCCCCGTCTCTCTGTACACTCCGACGCCGCCCCAGCCCCTTCCACTGCCGCGCCGGCGTCTCCTCTCCCCGCCTCCCCTATCGTCCCCCTTCCGCCATCGCCCGTCGGAGCGGAAACAACAACGATAACGAAGATGATGCCCCTCTGTGCAGCGGTGGCGACACATCCCAGCTCCGGTATAGCCCTTCCAGTGTTGTCGCCCGTCATCTTCGGCAACGAGACGTTGAGGATCGGAGATCGCAAGCAAGGTCGATAGGCGGAGGAGAAGCGGCGGTGGGGCGGCACGACGGTGAGCGGCGCCAAGGTCTCCCGCTCGCGGCCGCCGGCGTCGAGGGCATGAAGGGAGTGACAGCGGCGAGGTGTTGTCGTCGCCCCTCCTCCTTGCCGGCATCGTCGCCTCCGCGCCCGGCCGCATCTGGTGCCGCCGCCGCCGCCGCGCCCGGCCGTATCCGGCGACGCCGCCTCCTCGCCCGGCCGCATCCGGCGCCGCCGCCGCCACGTCGCCCGGCCGTATCCGGCGCCGTCGGCTCCTCGCCCGGCCGCATCCGCCGCCGCCGCCGCTTCCGTGCTCGGCCGTATCAGGCGCCGCCGCTTCCTCGCGCGGCCGCATCCAGCGCCGCCGCCTCCGTTCGTGCGGGAAGAGTAACGAGAGGAGAAGAAGAGGGAGAGAAAAAGGAGGAAGATGGTGTATCAGATACTGACGTGTGGTCCTAGTAAGTGTAGATGGAGATGTTGTTAAAGCGATAAATGAGTTTGGCTTGATAAATTATTTGAAGAGCTGGTTAAGTGTTTGAAGAGTCCGATTTAGAAATGTTGTTGGAGATGCTATTAGTTCTTAAAAAAAAAACTACTGTTGCAAGAACTGCAGCTAGTAGGCACATCATCGCACGATGCATTGCAGGCGACGTCATCTGCTGCACTCGAGTGAACCCAAGTCTTATCGATCCCCCGTCCCATCTACGAGATCATCATGCATCTCTCTGCCGCACACAGCTTAAATTAATCACTCTTGTGACATGCATTTACTCGATCGTGCTATTTCCAATTTCCCAAGCTCTATCCACCTCAACCAACACAATTGATATTGAGTGTGACTGATAGACTGTTTCTCCTCTTTAAAACCATTGGGGGGGTTAATGCACTGTCAAATGACAAATAAATGCACATTGTACGACGAATATATAACTATCATATTGGTATTGGTAGGTTGTGTCTCTTTTGGGCTGAAATACAATTATAAAACAAAGAACTGTATAACATAAAAAATAACCACAAGAATGGTTGTTTTAATACTTTATCCGTCCTAATACAAGTGCACATAGTATAGGAGTAAAAAACATTGTACCAAAAGTTTGGGTTTAGATTTTTCTGAAAGTTCACTCTCTCTTTTTTTCCCTGAAAATATGGAAGTAAATTTGGGAAATTATGTGGGTGTAGGGAGAAACCCAGATGAAGATAATGACCACATATATATCTAGAAGTTTTGGTAATTCTAAAATTTTTCACACTAAAAGATCATATCAGAATTTGGTAAGGCTTAAAATCAAATGTATCCAACCTACTAAAATTTAATAACACTAAAATGTATTAAATCATGATTATGGTTCAAAGGTGAATAAGTCCTTATAATTATAAAATTATAAGGGTGATCAACAAACATATTGTTGGTCAGAAAACAGAAAACCACTTGGGCCACACGTGCGGGCTGCACTGAGGAAGTAGTTTCCTCTTTTTCTCAATCTCAGGACCAAGTTGTAGAGAAGATATAGATTAAAAGTTGCATTAAACCAGGATCACACTAACAAACTACGTCATGTACTCCTCATCAAACACGATAAGACTCTTCATCAAACACGATAAGACTCTTCTAACATAACTACTCCCTACGTCCCATTTTAAGTGCAACAATAAATTTCCACGCTTAACTTTTAGTCCGTATTATTTTTTATAATTAGTATTTTTATTATTATGATATGATAAATCATGAATAGTACTTTATACGTGACTTATGCTTTTAATATTTTTAAAAAGTTTTTCAAATAAGATGGACGGATAAAGTTGTGCATGGAAAATCATGGCTGCACTTAAAATGTGATTGAGGAGTATATACTTTCTCCATCTAAAAAACTTAATCTAGATGAAGATGTCACCCTCATACTATAACAAATCTGGACAACCACTATCCAATTTCATTAGAGGTGGTGTTTGAATCTCCTGAAGATAAAAATAAAGATAAAGATTAAGTGTTTAACGTAAAACGAGGTCGTAATAACGTGTGATTTATTTAGTTTTAATTATTACAAACTTGAAAAATAGATTAGTCTGATATTTTAGAGCAACTTTCATATAGAAAGTTTTCACACGAAACACACCGTTTAGTAGTTTAAAAAGCATGTCACGAATATCCAAAATTTAATCCTGTGCTTACAATAGAAACGAATAAGACCTAAACATCATAGATTAAGTTTTTTTTTAAGTACGGAGGGTCTAAGTCAGATAGACGTGTGTCTCTAACCCCGCAGGATTCACCTCAGTTTCTCGCCAAGGCATGATTATCCAGTCAAAGTATAATACTCGTCCCTAATCGATTTTAAATCGAACTACTACTACTCCGCAAAAACAAGGCTCAATTAGTAGCAAAATGTTTATCAGGTAGGCAGCCTACTATGCCACCTAACCTACCGTCGCCACCCTTCCTCTTCTTTTTTTTTTTTGAACGGTCACCCTTCCTATTCTCAACCAACGTAGAACAAACTTAAACCACCTTGATCGCATTCGCATTCCATCGCCATCGATCGATCGCCTCCTCCGCACGCGCAACGGCAAGCCGGCGAGCTATATATACTACATGCCACTACTAGCACCATGAAATTGGCAATGGCAGGAGGCGACGGAGTGAAGGGCGCCGCCGCCGTCGTCTTCGTTGACGACGACGACGACGAGCTGTTCGACATCGACATCGCCTTGCTCGACCGCCACTATTACCACCAACGACGACGCGACGACGACGATGAAGCTGAAGACAAAGATGGCGGCGGCGGCGACGCTCTTCTTGCCAACTGCCTCCTGCCGGTGAGCTCGGTGAGCAAGGCGGTGCCCGTGACGGCGACGACGGCGGCGAGCTCGTCGTCAGCCTCTACCTTCCTTCCGGCCGTCCGGTACGGCGGCTCCAGGAGTATGCTCCTCTTCAACGGCCGCGGCGGCGGAGGGAGGAGGCTAGTGCGGAGAGGCAGCAACTCGTCGGCGAGGTTTTGGCTCGCCGCGAGAGGACTCGACGCCGCCATGGGAAACTTTCAGAGGTACTAGAGGTCAGCTGAAACGAACAGAATCGAACAAGTCAACGAGTCAACTTGTGGAGCCCAGTGGTATATGGCCCTTGTGGGCCCAATTACCGCAGGCCCATAAAGGTTCGGTTTAGTAGCACAAAAGGGCCTGTATTTTTATTTGGGAATAAGTTCACTTTAGGTCCCTCTATTTATCGCTCAGTCTGATTTTCATCCCTAAACCGCAAAACCGGGTACGACTCATCCCCAACTTACGAAAACCGGGCAAACGAGGTCCCTCGGTGGTTTTGATAGTGGTTTTGGCTGACGTGGCGCATACGTGGCTAATTTGACTCGGTCTTCATCTGACGTGACGCTTACATGGCAATTTGATCTTAAAAAAATAATAAAACTAGTGGGACCCACATGTCAGTTTCACACACAAATAGAGGAAAAAATGGTGGGACCCACGTAGGCCCCATATGTCATCCTCACTCCTCTCTCTATCCTCTCTCTCCCCTCTTCTCTCTATCCCTTCTCTCTCTCCGGCCGATGGAGCAGGGCGGGCGACGGGCGGGGCGGGACGTGGCCGACGGCGGGTCAGGTCGCGGCGCGCCAGCCATTCTCCCGCAGCGCCTCCTTCTTCGCGGGGAGGGCGGCGAATCTCCCCCATCGTCTTTCGGATTGCCGGCGGCGGCGGTAGCTAGCCCCGCCCCCGTGGTGAGGTCCGTCCCGCCGGATAGCTTGCGCTCGGTGCTCCAGGACTTGGTGTCCGACGAGTAGGACCGGCACGCCGTGAAGCTACGACGCTTGTAGAGGACCAATAGGCGGAAGGCGGCGGGACCCGGTGGGAGCGGATCGGCGGAGTCCTGGAGATCGTCGGCGGTGAGCAGCGCGCACGCGTAGAGCCCGGGCCTGTCCTTCCCGGAGAGGACGGGGAGGAGGATGGCCATTTCACCGGTCATGGGGTTGCACACGACGAGCTTAATGTTAGTTAAATCTTGCATGCATGTAGCTACTAAGTGTTAGCTATGGGTTTCAATTCTGTTATTGCATTGTGCATGAGCTTCCGGTCTATGGATGCCATGCATGTAGTGGTAGTCGTGCCGACCTTGGCGATCGGAGGCGTGAGCACGTTGTTAGGATCGTGGGGATGGACATGATTGTACCGCGACGTGGGAACGCATCCAATGCGCTCACCTGCATAATGAAAGGGAGAGAGAAAACCAGAAAAGGTGCAGCTTCATCGCACCACAAAACTCAGCGTGTTTCCTCGTGGTCGCGTGTGTTTCCACAGCTTGTTCGTCGATCACTTAGGGAAACCTGTCACTTAAGGGCGGCGGAGCTCGACGACGAGGCGGCCTTTCCGTGATGCGACGAGGCGGGAGTTCTTGAAGAGGCCGGGGTTGTCAAACACCCTGTCAAGCTCGCCGCCGCCGAACCTGGAGGAGGCCGAGGGCAACGGGATGAACCGAGGCAGCGCGACCGAGGAAGACGAGTCGTCCTCGTGGGTCTGGTGGAAGAAGTCGACGGCGAGGTCGCGGATGAGGTGGCTGGAGGGCGGCATGGAGCGGCAGATGTACACCGCGTTGCCGGTGAGGTGGTGACGAGGCGGCGCCACCGCCTACAAGTGGCGCGGTGCACCGGACGAGATCGTGAAGATCCAGCGAGCTAGCCGCAAACACGAGGAGGAGGACCTGACCTAGCCCGCCGTCGGCCGCTGCCCCGCCCCGCTCTGCCGGCCAGCCGCTCCGCCCCGTCTGTCGCCCGCTTCTACCGTCGCCGCTCGCCCTGTTCCATCGGCCGGAGAGAGAAGGGATAGAGAGAAGAGGGGAGAGAGGATAGAGAGAAGAAGAAGTGAGGATGACATGTGGGGCCCACGTGGGTCCCACCATTTTTCCTCTATTTGGGTGTGAAACTGATATGTGGGTCCCACTGGTTTTATTTTTTTTCGGATCAACTTGCCACGTAAGCGCCACGTCAGTGTCACGTCAGATGAAGACTGAGTCAAATTAGCCACGTAGGCGACACGTCAGCTAAAACCGCTATCAAAACCGCCGAGAGACCTTGTTTGCCTGGTTTTCATAAGTTGGGGGATGGGTCGTACCCAGTTTCGCCGGGCCGAATGGGCTTGTATTTGTAATAAACTCAAATGTGTCCTATCTAAGGAATAAGTTCATCCGAGGTCCCTTAACTTGTCAACGAATCCGATTTTCGTCCTTGAATTTTAGAAATAGAATCGAATAGCAACTGCAGCAAGCAGTTTCCAATCCCTGTGAAGTCGTGGAGACTGGAGAGGGGGGAAGGAGAAAATGGCGACGTGCTAACCGTTCGCTTCCGGAAGCTGGCGGCCGACCAGATCAAGGGCGCCCGACGCCGATGACGCCCTCCTCTATGGCGCCGCTTACGTCCCGCCGCCCCGCTCCTGCGCCACCGCCGCCAGTCACTAGTCACTACCGCTTGCGCCCTGGGGCCCCGCGCGCCGCCGGCGCCCTCCTTGACGCCGCCGCTACTTGCACCTTGTGGCCCTGCGCGCCGCCACCGCCATGCTCCCGCGCCGCCGACACCCAATCGCCGCATTGGTGGCTCGGTGCCCTCCTCAAACCCGTCGCCATCGGCGTCGTCGTCTTCGACAGTGGCGGCGGGAAAGCAGGTGGAGAGAAGCGGGAGCTCGCCCGCCACCGCCCATAACGAGGACGCCGTCGAGGTCGGTGAGCGGCGCGAAGGACAGTGGAAACGGTGGCGGGGGCCGCGATGGTGAGGTGTGCGTCCTTCTCCTCGCGGAGGACGCTGCTCCTTTCTCGTCGGTCGCCGGCCGCCTCCTGCACATGCGCGCCGCTCCTTTCCTCCCTCCGGCCGGCGCCTGTGCGCCGCTTCTTATTTCTGCCAGCGAGAGGAAGGAGGAGAGGGGAGAGAGATGAAGACGACGAGAGATGGGGAGAGATCAAGAGGAAGAAGATCAGGGGTGAGAATGACTTGTGGGGCCCACGTGGGTCCCACCATTTTTATTAATTTGTATACGAAACTGATATGTGGGCCCCACGGGGTTTATTATTATTTTTTGGGTCGAAGTGCCACGTAAGCACCACATCAATGCCACGTCAGATGAAGACCGAGTCAAATTCGCCACGTAGGCGCCACGTCAGCCAAAACCACAATCTAAACCGCCGAGGGACCTTATCTGCACCGGTTTTAATAGTTGAGAGACCCGTTATATCTGGTTTTGGGTTCAAGGACGAAAACCGAATTCGTTGACAAGTTAAGGGACCTCAGATGAACTTATTGCCCTATCTAACGAGAGGCCTGGGTAACGGATTACGGCCATCTGGGCCCACTAAAAATACTCGTAGAAATACGGCTACGGTGTGTACGCGGCGTCGTCAGCCCACTCGCCGCACATCCTCGGCGAGGTCGCCGGCGATGGCGCCGCCACCGCCAGGGCGGCAGCGGCTGCCCTGCGACGGCGAGGAGGACGCCCCCCCCCCTCTCCACCGCCGCCGGTGAGGGCCTCCTCCGTCCAGCGATCGCTTCCGGCGGGACGTACGGGGCCCGCCGCGAGCCTGGTGAGGGTTTTGTTCTCCCCTCCCTCTCTGACGATATGCTCTCTCTTGCTTCGCTTTGATTCCGCAAGCCGCCGCTGGGATCCAGTAATTTTTTTTTCACTTAATTCCACTCGCGCGTTTCAGTTTGTGCGGGAATTCGTGGATCATTCAAAGGATTGTGCTACAAATTCCCACCATATCATCACTATATCAGTGTTGTCTTTTACTGCAATTTTTTTTTTAAGAAAATGGGATAAACCGGGCCTCTAAATCCATCCGGATGTACGCAGCCGATTTTATGTGTTACTTACTACTACATGTTAATAAATAATAACCTGCATAGTAGTATGCAATCTGGATGAATTTGTACAAAAAAAGAAAGCTGGATTCCCATCATATCAGTGTTGTTACTTACTGCATTTTTTTCCATTGTGTCACATACTACATGTTAATAACCTGCATAGTACTACTAGTATGCAATGTGGATGATTTTTGTACAAAAATAAAACTGGATTCCTATCATATCATTGCTGTTACTTACTACTGCACTTTTTCCCCGTGTCACTTATTACTACAAGTTAATAACCTGAATAGTAGTATGCAATGTGGAGCCACCAAGCGACACCATGTGGAGCCACCAAGCGACATACAAATAGATAAAAAGCCCTTTCTACCAGTTGGGTTTGTCCACCAGCATGAATTGGCTTATACATGACTTAAAAACATTAATAATAACGTGGTTTACATATTAGTGCACTGGAATTTGCCAACATGGCTATCAATCTTACTGCTTACAAAATAATCCACTAATATGTTCTTGATACGGAAAGAAATCTAATACTAATACATGCTGCAAAATGCATCTGGTTTATTCGCAGATATACTGGCTGCTGATGTAGCAGAAGAACGTTGATTCATGAGAAAGTAATATGGCAGAAAAGGTTTGATTTCAGAGAATCGTAATTTTGGGACAATTGGAGCTGCATTTCTCAGCGCCTCCTGGCTGCAGTCTCTCTCTGGGCATTGAAGTAGACAGCAGCCACAGGAAGGCCAAGATCATTCTCCTCGGCGAACCGGCGGGTGTTGAAATGGTCCCTGAAGGATGGCACAATTACAGTTTGCCTGCGCTTCTGCTTGAAGAGCACAAAAATGAACCTATGGATGCCAATGTTCGGCTTTGGACTCTCATAGCTTATGACCTCGCGTCCTTCAATCGGAAAGTGGTACAGTTGTTTATTCACAAGGAGAAACTCAATGAATAAGATGGAAAAAAAAACTGACACAAATTAGAGGAAGGACCTACCAAAAGAAGCATCCGTTGTCCCAGGTATATCAGTAACAATCCTGCGTAAATGTTAAGGTGAGATTTGCTGATAATTTAGCCACATTACTATTCATGTTAAGACTAGTCAGATTATGTGTTGTTTGTATGCATATGAAAGCTAAAGTAATTGTCCTATCTTCCCTAGAAACATAACTAACATGTCTAGCTAATCGGTAACCACCCACAAGAAACAAATATATAGTATTTAGATACAAATGTTCATGGTTGGTTACCAATGAAGGTGCTCCCTTAGATAAGGATCACTTGGTCCTGGCACATCTGGGTCTGTCATAACCTGAAACATGAGGAGTTATGGTTAACCAGGGAAAAAAATCGTAAACCAACTATGAAGTTGAGTGCTCCGCACCAATGTGAAGAAAGATCGCAGGTCACCCCCTTGGACCTCAACTCTTGGTTTAGACACAACTGCTGATGGGTAGAGCTCATGACCATTAAATACAAGCTTGTTGGAGTTATAGGTCACTATCATCTTCATGCATGGGTTAAAGGTATCAAGAACTTCCCCAATCACGCGCCCTACAACAAGAGGCTCCACAGACCTAGACATGTTTAGAGGAGCAGACAGTAATATTTTGCACACCAATGAGTGCTCTAGCTAGTCGTGGTGAGCTAATGCACTTCGGTGAGCTGTGGGCTGATTGCTTGGCAATGGTAGTACGAGCCTCTATTTATAGTGGCCAGCAGCCTGCTGGTCAAGTGTCTTGCAACCTCAATGGACAATGTGAGACATGAGTAGTATGTGTGTTTTTTAGTCAGGTATGCCGTGGAAAATAACTGAAAAGGCTACAGAAAGTAGCTAACAACTTTTGCAGCATAACCAACCAAGGGTCTTATTTTCTTCTATAACAGTTTGCAATAGAATCTATACACGCTGACGCTGTACTTCATGTATCTTCCATCAAGTTCTAAGGATAATCCCTCTGCATTTGTTTTTTTCCCCCTTAAAAGAACTGTTTGCGTGGGAAAGATGCAAGTCACCAGTGCTATTGAACTCTCTGGAGGTGTTAATACACCTCTTTTCAGGTCCTTTCTTTTTGGTTATTAATACAAACATTTTGTCAGTAGAAGACCATTATTTTTTTTCATGATATGATTTTTTCTTTCAAGCTGATAGTTTGATAGTTTGTCCACAGTAGTTTACTCAAAAAATATTATAGATCACTAGATTTATGCTATTCCTCTGAAACATAAGAAACCTTGAGGCAAGTGGATCTATGAAGATTACGTTGCTGAGCAATCTTATCGGTCAATAAACAGTGTTCGTCCTCCTGTCTGCCGATCTGCAGAGTCTGCATGACAATATACTCTTTAGCATGTTATGATTATTTTTATGTATCATCCTATGGTTTTCTAAATGAAAAACAGAAATTACTCTGTAACATTTATAATGGCATTACAGTAACATCTAGTTTTTGGAGAGGGCAATTAAAAAAATTTAATATGAAATGTTAACATCTTGATGGAGTTTTTTTGTGAAAAATTGGGAACCATGCCCTTATAGGGCAAAAGAAAAAAAAAAGGAATCTTAGCACTTTCAAGTGATTCTTATTTGCCAAAACTATCAATTCATTTTTTGCGTGTTCGATTTGGTGATTACTTGTTAAACATTAAAGCTTGCCTTGCTTGATATTCTTATCTTCTTATTTTCTAATTATTCTTTTTGTTATCTAGCAGAAAAAAATGCTTCACCACCTGCGTGGAAGTGTCTGCGCCCTCAAATGTTCATCTTTGCACACCTTGTTTATTTAGGTAAGCCCCATTCAGCGTCCTCTTTTTCTGATAAGGAAAAGAGAATTTGATGAGTTTAATTGCTGTTAGATTCTTTCCCCAAACTGTGATACTACTTGGATTACCATTATTATCTGTTTATTCTCTTCTTTGGAGGACTATGGCAAAACACCATGGAAGAGAATAAAGGAAGGGAACGCAGTGCTGCCACCACTTCAATGTGTAGGGGTGCTGTCTAGTGCTCAGATGTCATTTCAATGTTTAAAGATCATATGTTCTCCTTAATTGAGCCATTAAAAAAACTTTCTATATTTCCATAAGTAGTGGAGCCAAGTACAGCTTTATGCATTCCTCTGTTCTGGTGTAATGCCATCATGCCTACTTGACACTTTGAGCAACTAGCCAAGTAGAGGTAGTGGAGCCAAGTACAGCTTGTGACATTTTCCGGTTCCATTCTAATGCCATGATAATTGCTTGACACCTAGCTGAAGTAGTGGAATCTCCTAGCTGTTCCATTCAATGCTTGTTTTTGGGAAATTTTCTCCTGCTTAGCATTTCAGGATACTTCTTTTTTTGTGCTTCAAATTGTTTTCAGTTTTTCAGACGAAATTATCTTCACTTATTCAGTTAACTTCATGTTATTTTCCATTGAAATATAACTTTTAGTTGAAAGATGGGCCAAAGCCGCGTATCTTGCAAGCAAACCAACCTGTGTTTAAAAAAAATGCATATGCATACTAGGCACCTGTTAAAAGTTGTACAGCAAATTCTTCAGCTCTGCAATGTAGACTTTTCTTCATGTGTGCTGACTAGGATAGGATTTACGCTTCGGGCAATATCGTCTGTAGTCAGTACTACTTGCCAGCCTGGTTTGGTACTCCCTCTGTTTCAAAATGACATACTCCCTCCGTCCCAAAAAAAAAAATCCATTCCTAGCATCCCGAGGTGGAGTTAGTGGAGATGAAGAATGACTAAAATGCCCTTAATCATTGAAAAAAGCTGTAAGAGTGATAGGTAGGTAAAGGGTATTAAAGAGATAAAACTTCTCGCTTTACGTGCTGAGGGTATGTAGGATAGTAGAAGTTGGTTTTTTATGGGACAAAATTTAAACTCTAGAATTTGAGTTTTTTTTTGGGACGGATGGAGTACTTTTGTTTCGTTCGGACAAGACTTTGACTAACAATCACTCCATTGTAACATAATTTTTGTGACGTACTCCCTCCGTCCCACAATATAAGGGATTTTGAGTTTTTGTTTGCAACGTTTGACCACTTGTCTTATTCAATTTTTTTTTGCAAATATAAAAAACGAAAAGTTGTGCTTAAAGTACCGTGGATAATAAAGTAAGTCACAAATAAAATAAATAATAATTTCAAAAAATTTTGAATAAGACGAGTGGTCAAACGTTGCAAGCAAAAACTCAAAATCTATTATATTATGGGACGGAGGGAGTATTCAATAATACTTTCTCATTATTATACTTCTGTGCCATATAAATGATAGATATAGTAAAGTAATTGTTGGTCAAAGCCTTGTTCTAACAAAAACAAATATGCCTTGTATTTTGAAATAGGGGGAGTATTCTACAAGAACATGAGGTAACGAGAGAACCTTACCTTGATTACCAACATTCTTCTTCATTATTGTCTTCTATATTATATCCCTTAAGTCCCCAATAACCACTTGTCACTTACATGCAGATGGTGATTCTTCCTGTTTGCCGTCGAAACCGTCGTTACTCGACACCTCGAAATGCCTCGACGAAACTGCGCTGTCCACCAAACGTCAGCCCCTCAAAATGACAGCTGTGGTAAGTTGAATGCATGTTGATGGGAGGATCATTGTGGGGGCAACCTGTGGGAGGCAGCAAAGATATTCAGATGATGGCAGGCAGACTTTGGAGGGAGGATTGCCATGACCCAATGGAATATCCATGAATCAGTGATTCGGCATGTCTCGGCCGTCGGTTGAATCTAGGTGCTGACTGGTTTTGAGCCTTGAGATCCCTGTGGAACTATGGATTCACTTCATGGATGGATGAGTGTGGATTCACTTCATGGATGGATGAGGCATGAGGAGCTGTAGAAGCATCAAAATTTTACCCACTTTTGACGACAAAATCGCTAGTTAGTGGAAATGTGAGTTTTCTTTGATCCTTCTTGAAGCACTCCTCTTTTGTCAAATCGATGAACGCTGACAACATTGCAATGAAGGGATTTATGCTCATACCCATACTACAGGTTCAGAGTTGTTTTGTTAATGAATTATTACTTGTCTATATAGTTCTCTGTGAATTGACCAGTTGATGACAATTTGAGTTTCTGTACTCGATTCCAAATTCAATGAATAATTCTTTCTAGGGGGAGGGTTGATTACAATAGATTCATCTTCATTATTGAGTGTTGGTTCATGAAACGTGGAAAATGTTTCAAAGCTTAATCTAATTGTTTACTACCTACAACTGCCAAGATTGGTCACTGTTATTTGCAGCCTTTCCTGATGAGCTAACTTTGGCATGAAGTAGCATATATCTTATCTTACCCTGTTGAATGCCAGACGGTTAAAGTTGCTGCTGAAATGTCTCGCAAGTTTAATCTTGGCTGCTCGTTAAAACAACTCGTATATTTTCATGTACTAGTAGTAGTATGATGAAAGAGTTATTCGGTCTGACATTTTAGGATCCATCAGGCCTTTCAAAGCAAACAACTTAAATTCTACGAGAATCCGAAAAACTTCAAATAGGCGTATGAATCAAGAATTCAGGCACCAGGGCTGTTCTTGAGCATTATGAATGTTCTGTCCGGGTTCTTGGGTGATTTCTTTCAATGGAACTTGCATGATGGTAATACTGCTATCGAACATTCATTCACCACAGGTGTAAACCAAGCTGGAAAGGGGAGAACAAACACATCACATGGCTCAAAAACACTCTTTTCCACTGTGAATTCCTTTCAATCCTATTCTTACCTGTGCATGAGCATGGCAACTTTTTCAGGAGATTCTGCCCATTACCACGTGCCGGCGAAGAACACGATGATGCTATTGCTCTCATCGATCAAAGATCATGGACGCGAAAACACTGTACTGTTCGTCTGTTTAGCCAGCTATACTAGTAATATGATCATCTGACTCGATCAGAATTTCTGGCATCAGTCGCACGCCTCCGATCCAACCCCCCTGTTCCACATCCACTGAACTGAGAAATGACGAGGCCTTTGTACCACGCATAAACATAGCAAATCTTATCTCTGCTTACCTCCACTAAGCCTCGTCCTTTGCAGAGTTTCAGTCCTTCACAGGAGTTCTTCACGCATGAAGAAGCCGTACTGTACTACCATCACCCACTCCAGCAAAAAGCTGTCAGGATACAAGATGCAAAGGTAAATGAAATCCCTGCTTCAATCGTACCACAGAACTAGTTGCAGAAAGAATAAAATAATATAGTTTGAAATGAAAGGCTAGTATGAAATAAGTTTGAGCAGGAGCCATGTCTAGGAAAACCGGCAAGAATTTAGGATCATATCTAAAATTGTGTGTGAGCATTGTGGTAAGGAATAAGACTGAGGGAAAGCTTGCTGTTTGTTGTTTAACAGAATTATGTCATTGCATCTCCAATTCCAAATTATATATATGTTAGTCTTTATTAACAAGTTGCACTTGCATTCAAAGCAACAAGAATTGGCATTAACCCACAATCTCATGATGTCGAACTTGTCTGTGTGACAGCTGAATCAGTTGCCACACTTCCTTTCGGCTTTCGCCACATCAAGGTCTACTAGATCCTTGAGTGCCTTCATCTGCAAACACTAAATGCCAGCACAAAATAGTTTTCTGATACAACAAAACTCATAAATCACAAAAGCAAAACATTTCAAAATCAGGACCAGACCAAGCAAAAATGCATTCTCAGCATAGGAAAATCATACCATATCAAGTACAAGGAGTGCCCTCAGACGGTCTCCAAAACTTAGCTGCACAATGGTTGCATCATGATCTCAGGACAACTGGTTGTGGCACGGCATCATCAGATGTCTGCCAAAAAAGGGAAAAAGCACAAAAAAGAGCGTACCATTTAGCAGTCACTTGGATATGTTTTCAAACACTGGAATAACAGCATACAAAATAGATAGATAACATGCAAGAAACAAAAGTACACTTTCTAAGCACAGGTTAATCATATTAATGGATGAATATATTATTAGGCTATATGTAACATTAAAATGTGATGCAACTCTTTGCACGAGAAGCCTTTACACCAAAGGAATTTTGCTTCAGAGCACTCCGATGAACTAATGGCACAGCGAGACCTAGTTGGAGAATGGTAATTAAGCCAGATTTTAGTTCTCAGGAAGGTGATTTGACCCTAAGGAACTACAGTTTTGAAAGCACAACTGCAAGGCGGAGGCATACTGCGGTGCAGTGTACAGCTCCTTGTGTTCCACAAAAGTTTGGTCTTATTAGTGATACGGTTGTTTGAACATACCGTTGAAGAAGCACCCAACACATTAGCTGAGTTTATTGGTTTTTCCAAGGTTGTATGTCACAATTTCATTGCTGAGCGCGAAGATCTTAAAATTGAAGAAATAGCCCTTAAGAGGTAAAAAGGAAAATAAAAGAAAGAGTTACTTTGTGCAAGATTTTGAATCAAAATTACAGAAGACAGCATAAGTTCTCTGCGTAGTGTTTTTGTCCTTCCTAATCAACCAGGCCTTGGAATAATCAAAATACTTTTTTTTGTTCATTCTATTCAACTTTTTTAGCGAAATGTTCATCCTATTCATCATTCAGCCTCCAATAGCATCCTATCAAACAGAGATAATTCCACTACCAATTTCACATTTCCTCAAATCTCTTGGTTCAAACATGGGATGAAATTACGTTTTGAAATTTCGGACCCCCCGCCCCCCCGGGCAAGTCAATATCTCGGCCGAAATTTTCGGTTTCTCTCAGCTTTTTGTGAATTTAGTCAAAATCAGTTAAATTGTGTCAAAATTTCAGAAAATTTCGGCCCAAAAAATGCCGAAATTTTGGGAATTTCGGTTCTACCGAATTGACCGAAATTTTAGCCGAAATCGAAATTGAAAACCCTGAATGTGGCACCACGGGATCTCTAAACACGAAGAGTGAAACTAGGCGCAAGTAACACTGTAAAAGTGAAAGAATAAAAAAAACAGATGGTGAGATATATATATCGCAATTTATATTAAATATAATTTGAACACTATCCACCGGCCCGGTGAAAAAAAAATAATTTGAACATCATCTTAGAGACTTAGGAGCTAGGACGCCATCTAACTATACATTCATCTCAAATCTCATCATCATCATCACACCAGTAATAACACAGCCAATTGTAATGCCTTCCCAATGACATGACAGCATCTGTATCTCCAAAAAATTATCTATCCGAGGTAAATCTATATAGGCAGAGTAAAATCTAAGCAGTTACATTGTTTAGAGCGAAACCTAAGTAACCACAGAGAGGAGATCGATCCAATTCGAACCCAACCCTACTCCAGGCGATGGGCAGACAGAACAGGCAGATCGCTCACCTCGGGGAAGAGATGCGGAGGAGGTGGCGCGGCGAGGAATCCATGGGTGGCGGTGGAGATGGATGGAGCAGTGGGGAAACAAATGGAAGAGAGAGAAAGAATGAAGGGGAAGATGGCCGAGTTGGTGGGGGTAGGAGACTAGGAGTGATGGGCCAAATTGGGCCTTCTAATTAATTACCGCGATGCCCATTATGCACAGCCCATTTGATAATAGGCCTTGTTATAGTAGACTGATCAATTAATTTAGAGTAAATTTTAGAAAACTGCAACGACAAATATATCTGTTTGATTCAATATTAGCGACATATTTCAGTTTGCTACGACAATAGCATAGGAAATTATCATAAAACTTATTGTTACATGACATAAGCTTACTGTTGTCACCTACATGTCCTGTAGCAGCATACCCCATAAAAGTTGTAGTTTTGTGATAGTTTTCCACGCTATCATAAAAGTTGTAGCAAACTAAAATATGTCGCTAATGTGGACGCAGCTTACAGAACTGAAACTAGTGAAGCAAGCGTTGGGATTATCATTTGAGATTGCAGAGGGCTAGTACTCCTGGCTGTGTATAAAACTCTACACGGTGTACCTCAGCGGCTGAAGCAGAATCTTTAGCATGTTTAGAAGGGCTAAAAGAAGCAATGAAGTGGATTTAGATGCCAATTATTCTGGAACTAGACAACGCTGAAGTTGTTCAGGCATTAACAAAGCAGGTGGCTTCAAGCTCCTCTTGGGCGATGACGATTGCATAAATCAATGATGTGATACAATGTATCCAACAGGTGCAGGTTACAAGATTAAGAGAGAAGCAAATATTAAGAGAGAAGCAAATAGGGTTGCTCATGTATTAGCACAAATGGCAATGAGTACTAGGTCGTGTGGGGAGTGGAGGTTGTGCGCTCCCGCATCAATCCTAGACTTGTTAAGCCAGGAATGTAACCCATTATTTAGTCATCAATAAAGTTTCTCTTAACCTAAAAAAAAAGTGTGTCGCTAATGTTGCAGCAAACTAATAGTTTTGTCGGCATAGTCGTTGTAGTTTTCTGAAATTTACTCATTAATTTACCAAAGGTACGGAAATGAGTTCTTAGCCACATCGTTTTGTTTATGCTTATATGTACGGATAATTATCAATTAAAGAATAATTTATAGGTATTTTTTATATATTTGTTCTTAGCGATTTAAAAACAATGTTGTAAAATAAACTACGATGAAAAAAACCACTAAATCAACTCCAAAATTAAGTTTTAGTGTTTAAATTTTGTTACATTTTCTAAGCATGAGCACAAGAGAAAAGATGGATCTTTCATGTATAACAATCTTTGCAGATTTCACCCGCTGTGCCAATAAGAGGTTTCAGTTATATACTAGTAGTAAACTAGTAACAGATAACAATGGGCATTTGGTTGGTAAAAAATGTACACATCTTTTAATTTACTTTGTATATTTCACTTGTTGTGAACGATCAATATTACTGACTGTACTTTGATGATCTAGTTACATATATGCACATAATTGTGTATTTGTGTTTGCTAATTGTTTGTGAACATCATGTGATGTTTGGTATCATGTTGTGTGCATGATTAATTGATTACATCAGGTCACAGAACAAGTGCCTGTGTCATGTGAGCAGTTCTAGTAGAACTGGGCATTGCTGAAAACTGGAGAGATGCTGAAAATATCATCCAGGAAAGGACGTGAACTACTTGCTTTATGATCAGTAACTGAAAATCATGCAATCCCATTCATTCCATCTGAAAATTTTGCTAGTGCAGCTGGAGCCTTCCATTGTTTCCCAACTCTCTTCTGAGTTTCTCACATATCTGCTAGAGTGCTAGATTTCATTTAAAAAACAAGCTTTTGCTCCCTACTTTGAAGGTTAGTTGCAAAATACATTTGAAACAGGATTTCAGAAGGCTGAATATTGGCTCTCAGATGGATGTGCTGCAATGCTTAGCTCTCCACAATTGCCTTCATCTGCCACCAGTATCCTACAAGCAATGAAAGGCACCAGCAAATAAGATGAGAAATGCATAAAAAAGGACGTACTGTCACAGCTGCTGACTTTGTGGCTTGTTTCACATATAGAATTTGGTTAGTTGGCTGAAATAGTTGAAAAATCTACAGAGAAGCCACAGAAAACCGTGTCCTTATTTTACACCATGACATGCACTGTGTTTTGTCATGTTCTTTTAAGGGTAAGAGAATCATATACTTTCAAGGCTGAATATGTTAAAGTGTAAATTATACTCGTTTAAATTTAATATAATTGGGGCAGTCCTTTAGGGGCATCTTAACCTTAAGAATGAGAAAGTGACATGGTCTAAAAAATAAGCTTTCTGACTTTTGTTTCCTGTTAGGAGGAAGGTCCATTTCAACCTGATTAGTAGTGCACGGCTCAATCTCTGATAAGTTATTTAGATGATTCCCGCCTATATTAAGTCATGGCTCAATCATACTTCAAAATTATCTAGTAAAAGTAAAAAATATTAACTACAATAACTATGAGCAGGAGAATATCCCTTTTTTATAGGAAAAAAAGAATCAACTACAGGCATGGGGTTTACTCTCGAGGGCGAGAAGCCCAAAGTGAGCTCAGGGCACGGAGGCGATTATGGTACTCTCCAATGGCCAAGAAACATCGAGCTGCCTGCCTGACTGTCAGAATCCTGTGCATCTGATGGATAGTCTGCTGCCTCAAATTATCAGCCTGGAAATCCAATGTGGTGCACATTAGGCAGTGTTTAGTTCCCTTCAAACTTCCAAAAATTCCATCACATCAAATGTTTGGATACATGCATAGAGCATTAAATGTGGACGAAAAAAAACCAATTGCACAGTTTACATGTAAATTGCGAGACGAATCTTTTGAGCCTAATTACGCCATGATTTAACAATGTGATGCTACAGTAAACATTTGCTAATGACGGGTTAATTAGGCTTAATAAATTCGTCTCGCAGTTTACAGGCGGAATCTGTAATTTGTTTTGTTATTAGTCTACGTTTAATACTTTAAATATGTGTCCGTATACTTCAAAAAAAATTTGGCACACGAACTAAACACGGCCTTAGTTTTATGTGTGTTCCAGTAAAACCCATTCCTGGAATCTAACTAAAAGTTGCCGGCAGTACATATTTGTTTTGCTACTTGTTTTAGTTGGAAAGTCTTTTCTTTCTACAATGTTAGATACAGTAACATCTCTACATGATGGAGCCATAACATGATATATTCTCTTACATATGGACTAGTTAATTATTTTTAATACATTTTTTGGCAGCACTGTTAAGGTTTACTAGGACACAGCTTTGGCTACTGGGCAGTGGCTAGACAGATAAACATTCTACTGAACACAGCAACATTTTACACTCAACAATTTTACGTAGTTACTAGCTCATTTATGAAGTTGAGTCACACAAAGAGAGAGTGCAACTCCTATCTTGATCTGACAAAATGACAAGATGATCAATATTGAAGAGTAGCAGATACAACTGGAAATCTTTACCTGTATGACAAAACCTTCAAGATTTGATAGCTGGCCGAGGGCAATAGCCATGTGACCCATGAAACTCCCGACGTTGGGGTCATCCAACGGGGACCCTCCAGCCACGGTTTCTGCTAATGACTGATGCAGCTGATCCAAGCCCTGGGAGAGAGCTTCCTCTGCCTGTTGCGATGACTGTTGAAGATTGCAGATACCAACCACTTGCTGCTCAGTCAGGGGATCCAGCTGGGGTGTCAATGTCTGCATCAACATAAAAAATATGCAGTGAGATTGGAGAATTGTATATGTATACTTGAAAGATGAGCTCAGATTTTAGCTTGGTTTCATCTTCCTGAAGAATTTGTTGGAGAAAATTTTTCATTTTCAACTCTGAAGTGAGTGTCTTGTTTCTGATCAAATTAGCCATAGACTCAATTCAGCAAATACAAGAGACGCTGTAATCTGATGACTGATGTTTTGTTCAGAGATAAGGTCATCCATACCTTGAGCAGCTCGGAGGGCCGGAATCCGCCCATCCAGAGGAAGCACCGCTCAGCTGGGGTCGCCCACATCCCGGTGATGAGGTGGAACACGTCGGCCTTGGCCGCCATGCCCTTGAGGTTGAAGAGGTGGTCGTAGTGGGTTAGCGTGTCGTCGACGATGGCTCTGAGGTCGCTGTCCGGCAGATGTGCGTGCAGCCCTCCGTGCAGTTCAGCCATGCGCTGGCTGTCTTCCTCCAGCCACCGGGCGTAGTCGACGTCGAACATTGCGGCACCTGGAAATAAATGTCAGTCATACAGCTCAGTTTCAGTGAACCATAGTCCCGTCTGCAGATCCCAGCTGAAGTTCATAGATAAGTTTATATCAAATATATTCACCTGAGCTGGTGTTTCCACCTGGAGCTCCAAGCAGTAAGCCCTAAACATAGCTCAAAAAATCAGATTACGCTGTATAACTAAGCTAAACACATAGTCAATTTGTCGATTATAAAATTATGGATGTGTTGAAAGAAAGTTACCTGGGAACGAGCTCTGTGGATATCCTGTTCCATCTGAGCAAGCTTCAGCTTGCTGCTTTCAAGCTGCTGGATGTAAGCCTGTATGATCCATACACGAAACTGTTAGAACATGGAAAATTTACTGCTGCGTGCCGAGTATCGGTCACAACATTCACCTTCTTTCGCAGTCGGCTTTTCCGTGCTGCTTCTCGGTTCTGGGCGAGCCTTCTCATCGTCTGATGACACCAAGAGAAAAAAAAAACTCTCAATCTCAAATACTGCCTCGAAATGGTCATTAGCTTGCACTGCATGGCTCTGTGCATCTGCTTGGCATGCATGCATGCACACAGCACACGTCAGCACACTCTAAGCATCAAACTAATAAGAAGATAAGAGACCTTTGGATCAAGCGCCTTGCCAGTCTTGCTGCTATGAGTGGGACTGTTAGTTGCCATCTTCTGCATGCCAAGTGGACATGAACAAATCAGAATATGGAATTTACTACACCTGTGCACAAATTAATCTGTAATTACACACTAACTAGGGGATAAATGGTAGAGCAATGCTATGTGTATGCGTTTATGGTGTAAGCAATATAGTATGGTTTCTACAGCACGTTACATCAAGCACAATAATAAAAACAGTCGTGTACATTTGGTGGAAGCCACCCACTCTAACAACAGACAAAAACTGGTTCTGCTTTTTTTTTATATGTTGCTGTCGAGGCCTAATATGTAGAGCTCTCTTTCGGTTATGAGCGAATTTAAATAGTCCATGCGATTATTTATTCATCCTATATATTGGCAATTCATCAATTGACCAGAAAACAACTAAAGCACCACTGACCCAAAGTATCATTTGTATTATCGATTAGTTCATTTTTATTATTAGCGCACAAGGTTTGCAAGCTATAGAGACAATATTGTAAGAAAGCTCATTTGTCACTTATTGCAGCAGGCCAATGGCAGAAATGCAGCCACCACATGAACAAGCATGCACTAATCTAACATATCCAAACCCTCTAAACTTATCCATTCCAACAATAAAAGATCAACTAGAACGACTGTTTCTTGCTGAAGAGATTGTCCATACTCCTGATAATAAGTGCAGTCAAATAAAGATTTGCATCGTCCCAATAGAAATTGAAGATGACTTCTTTGTTTCTTAAGAATGCAAAGAGATGACTGACTAATATTCTCTATCTAGTAGTAATATATTAGTAGCGTCTGATGGTAGAAAACACTGGTCCCATGGAAGAAGCATCAGGGAAATTAGTTGGAACTTTCTATAGGGCCAAATGATTCACCAAACGTGTTGGGATTGGCGATCTTGGGAGCAGCGAGATCTTAAATGCCCCTGAACAATGGTTGTTCTACCTATAGGAGCATGTATCTACATGAGCATCTTGGAAGTTGTGGAGCTAGGGACATGCATGACGCCAGGCTAGGGAACAATACCATTGCGCTTGCATGATAAGGATGACCAAGACAAATCAAAGCACAGAAACGGGAAGCACAGAAACAATACCAGACCACCGATGCATCAAGCAACAGTGATACGAGATCACAGCAATGCATTGCATACCTTGTGTTGTTCCTGCTGTGGAATTTGGTCGAACTGGCCTGCCATGTCTCCTACTAGCACATGCTGGTCTGATGAGGCATTTTGGTTGCTGTTGTTCTTGCTGCTGCTCTCCGAGTCTGTTGTGTCTGCTGTCACATTTGAACCCTCCTACAACATGCCAAAGCAAAGCCAGGGCTCAGACCACAGCTGTAAAAAACTTTATATGCAGCATGAATATTTACCAGAGCTAATACTTGTGTAAAACCACATGTCGTTGATACAACCAATAGGCAGTACAGTAGACAGTAGATGCAAAGCATACCTTGGGTGTGTGGAGAGACCTCATAGGCCAGGATGGGAAGATGTCCAGTGTAGGAGGAGGCCTAGCTGTAGCCGCAGCAGTAGCAGTGGTGGAGAAGGCTGCAAGAAGATATCATAGGGGAGAAGGAGATCAAGAAATGCATGGCAATACACCAGAGGTGAAAAGGCTGCATTGGGATCACAAGGTGTGGGGTCCCTGTCACAGTGAAAGTCAGTGGAATTTATTCTCTTTGAGCTGTGCTTGCAGTCAGGGAGCCAGAAAGTTGGTAGACACTCTCTCTGGTACTCGTACTGCAAGAGACTAGAGAGATGGAGAGGAGTCACAAGGTAGTCACACTCTCATGCCATGGCCATGCCAAGGTAGTACTGCACACAGCACAAGCAGGACAACTGCCACCACTTCTACTGCTCTCCCATGGCTGCTTTTGACTACAATGCCCTAACCTCTCCAGAAAGTGCCTCACAAGGTTGTGTGTTTTTGGTCTTGTTCAACTGGTCTCACACACACACATGAGAGAGAGAGAGATGTACGTACGGGTGGTGTCTCCATGATGAAGGGTGGAGGTGGTGGTTGCAGTTTGTTGAGTCCTCCTGAGTGTGGCCACCTGTTGCATCAGAGCCTCTTCTAGTTCTCCAAAATAGTTAGCACCTCCTTGCTGCTCGCTGTCAGGGATGCATAGGGGTAATTAATTTGTATTAGCATTAGACCAACAGCTTATTGGGGGAAAATTGTGCAAAATTGGTCTACAGAAAGATTCTTGTGTACGTACTACGAAGCATGAAGAACAGTATATAGTAAAAAAAAAAGAAGTCAAGTTGACAAGCATACGTCAAAACAAGTAAAAGAAATTTGATTTAGCCAGTAAATATGTATGGTTAGCTAGGCAAAACTTGCAAAGAAAGTGCATGGTGCAGATCATGTTTCTTGGTGCACCTGCATAAATTGAATCACAAAAAGAGAAAAGAAGACTCATGGAGAGAGAGAGAGAGAGAGAGAGAGAGAGAGAGCTCTTACAACAAGTTTGCAGAAGGCAAGGAGTTGGGCATAGCTCCATGGAAGCCATAGCCAAGAACATGAGGATTCTGCCTTGGATGTCCTGAACTACTGCTAGCTTCTCCCATCTTCAGCAATCAGCAGCCAACTTATCCCAGTAGCTCCACACGAACCAGAAGCTCAAGTTCTTCTACCTTGCTTCAGTCCTCAAGAACTACCTTCTAGCAATCTGGCTTCTGCGCTCAAAACGCACAAAAAAAGAAGGAAAAACATCAAAGATCGATACTACACAAATACACCTATCTCAGGCTCTCAGCAAGCATACATCTGAACGAAGAAGATTTGAGTCAAGAAAACATACCAGCTTGTGGCTTCCCTTTTATGACAAGCAGGAGGGAGAGCAGGCATGCCTGACCGTTTCTGTGCGCAGTTGCTCTTGCTCCGCCTGCATCTTCTTGATATATCTGACGGTGTAATAGCTTCACGTTCTTGGGCGTACTAATCCCACAGTTCAGAGAAAGATGTTGTCCTTCCTATGCTGTTTTTGTTCTTCCTTCCCTAGCTAGCCTTGGTCAGAGAGAGAGAGAGACGGTCTAGGGTCTTGTCTTCACTCGAAGGTTTTTGTCATGAAGCCACAGGAATCCCTGACTGCACTCTTATCACATTGGAACTGACTGTTCTCTTTCATTGGCCCCAGCAATCTTATTTCTTTATTTCATGTTCACCCATGAGTTATAGTATTATCAGTTTTAAGAGTAGTAGAAAAAATATACAATTTCACACTGGTAAGATCATAGACTTGGTACAATTGTTCCGTATTTTCAATAATTCAGGCCATTTCTACCATCTAGATTTTGAGCATGAAAATGACCTAATTCATGATTGGTATTTCTTTGATTCAAACCGCTGACCTTACTAATTGCTGGTTGATTTATATGAAGTTCATTATAATATCTACACTATCAGATAACTGGAAAAGTTAGAAACTACTGCACAAAACCATTGTATGCTACTCCCTCCGTCTCATAATATAAGGGATTTTGAGTTTTTGTTTGTAACGTTTGACCACTCGTCTTATTTAAATTTTTTTAAAATTATTATTTATTTTATATATGATTTACTTTATTATCTACATTATTTTAAGCACAACTTTTCGTTTTTTATATTTGCAAAAAAAATTGAATAAAACGAGTGGTCAAACGCTGCAATTAAAAACTTAAAATCCCTTATATTATGGGACGGAGGGAGTACCTTGATCTATACACACCCCCTGGCCCCACGACATCCACTGCAAATATGTCACCTCAGGCTAGAAATGCAAGCTTGTGAAAAGATGGTGTATAATCTTTTGCTAATTAAAGATAGAATAGTCTAAAAGAAATATCTTTAGATAAAGCCACAGCAATCAACCAAAATCTTGATAAAAAAATCTTATATCTACTAGTAAGTGCCATTAATTTGAAATGTTTTTCAGTATGCCATGCCCAATTATGCAGTAAGAAAGCAAAAATAAATCACATGGAGAGGTTTATATTGTAGTATTTAATTATTCATCATTCTAATTTGCTTGACACTGTCCCCTGTTAATGTGTCAACATCCATGCCTTTGTCAAACCACACCTAAACCCACACCTCGCCAATAATATTCATTTCCACGATGGATAGGTAACATATTAAATTCCTGAGTCGATTCTTAAGTCTAATCAATCAATGTGCTTGTTTTGCTATCTATCATACGTTCACTTGTTATTGATGTGTTAGATTGGGACTCCTCAATTTGTATATGTTTTCACATCTCCATGTACAGGAATTAGACAGCAACTGAAAGCAACACTGCATACCTATTTATTTATATATTCTGACTTTACCATTTACCCCTAAAGCTACACCTGAGCTACTGGCCATACAATTGGACTGATGTATTGCACACTATATTGTACACTCGTGAAAACTATATATGGTTTACCACCATGATTAATAAACTGAAAGAGAACTCCGCTATTGTGTGATTCCACATCAGATGCATCTATCAATGGTCTGTAAGTGTTATCCTACTATGCTTGATCGCCCTCTTGCCAGTTATCACCATTTTTTACCAACAAACTATAGAACATTTTTTAAAGGGTGAAGAGCAGCTAGCTAGTATTAGAACGGATGTCCCTTTCGTTTTTACATTTGGAAAATGAAAGTACTTTACTACTTTATGCAGCGCCTATCAAGCCTTGTTTTTTTCTGCCCTCACCCACTAGTTTCCTGCCAATGATTGGGACAAAAATGTGCTGAATACATTACAAAAGAGAATTTATATGATTGGATTAGGTGATGGATGAACCTAGCTGCTACTAGCAGAGAGGTGACCTTTTATACTATCTTTTTGCATAATCGCATTATCGCAATATTCAAACAGCATGTTTAGATCGATGGACACGCTTAAACATTATTGGTACAGTGGTTGAAACCTCATATATGCATGATTTGAAGTAGTTCGCTTAGCTTCTATATATATCAATTCTAGAACCATGAGGGGTGCTTCCTAACTTAAACTAGCAGTACTATGCCTGCATTATATAAGAACCAGATTAAACTAATAGTTTCTATGATTAGTAGTTCAGTACTAGTCTTATTAAGAATCATGGAAACATCTGAAAATTAGCAGTCAGGTTGTACACTGTTCAGTTCATGCGAGACATTGGGATTACGACATTCCTGCTGCTGGAAACTGCCACAAAATGGCATAAACAGACAAGCTCATTATGCAATTTTAATGCAGCAGAATTTAAGTTTTCTTCTGATTTATTAAGAAGGACACCTCTGGTGAGTGGTGTTAATTTGAGCAGTATAATATACATCGGCGAAGTTTCATGAGCCACAGAATTCCGCATTTCACAATCCCAAAAGGAAAAAAAAAAACGCAATCATAGTCGCAAAGCTGGCAATCGGATCAGCACAAACGAAAAGGGCTACCGATTGATTTGTCTACCGAGAGGCAGCGCTCACCTGAGCACACCGTCGTGGTTGCCGGCGATGAACCGGCGCGTCGCCGGCCGGTGGTCCCCCGACGCCGCCGCGCCTACCAGGGTTCCCCACCGCCTCGCGCAGTGGGGCGAGCGCTTTCCCCGCCTCCCCTGCCTTGCCTAAGAGCATCTACTCCGGGGGCGGAGGCTGGTCGGTGGCTCGATCGGTGCCCCGCCGCCTACGGCGACGGCGACGGCGGCGCGCCACCCCGCTCGCCGTCGCGGCGCCTCCGCCCGACGGCCGGTGCCGAGGCAGTGATCGTTGGGCTTCATTTGGGAAGGAGAATTTGGGCTGCGTGAGACTTTGAGTAGGAAGCCCATCAGATCGATCAATCCCCTCATACGGGCCGAGTTAAAATAGTCTGGGCCTAAGTTTGGTTTAGGCCCATCATTGATGGTACTCTCGCATTTAGGCTCATTGGACCTTTTGTTTGGAGATTCTATTCTGGTGCTCTCTTCTCGTTTAGGCTGGGAAACTTGACTAGTTTGTTGGATTTGATCTGCATTTCATCTAACTGCTTTGAGACTGAAAAACAGCTGGTTTTTTAAGTCCAGGAATTAAAAAAAAGGACTTATAATTCTTTTATTATAAAACTGCAAAAATAGTTCACAATATCTTGCTATTTAGTGTTTATTATTAAATTTGTAAGTGTAATAAAAATATTTTTCTAATATATCTATTATATTATTAAAACAGCTTTGAAAGGAGGCACTACGTTCGCTGTGGGAGCTAGAAATTCCTACATTAATCGGAGAAAAAGAAAAAAAGGAAAATGAGAGTCCAAGTAGAAGTACAACTTAAAAATAACTGAAATTCGGAATTAAAAATAAGCAATATTGGAAGAAGTTTTCATATAAGAACCCACTACGAGATTAATAAAAATTCAAAATAAAAATAAAATAAAATCCAAAATTAGAAAAAAAAAGGAGAGTACAAGTAGAAATACAATTTAAAAATAGCTGAAATTCGGAATTAAAAATAAGGAATATTGAAATAAGTTTCTATATAAGAACCAATACGAGATTAATCAAAATTTGAAATAAAAATAAAATAAAATCCAAAATTAGAAAAGAAAATGAGAGTCCAAGTAGGAATACAATTTAAAAATAGCTGAAATTCGGAATTAAAAATAAGAAATATTAAAATAAGAGTCCATATAATAACCCAATACGAGATTAACTAAAATTCGGAATAAAAATAAATAAATCCAAAATTAAAAGAAGAGTTCAAGTAGGAGTACAATTTAAAATTAGCTAAAATTCGGAATTAAAAATAAGTAATATTGAAAGAAGAATCCATGTAAGAACCCAATACCAGATTAATTAAAATTTAGAATAAAAATAAAATAATATCTAAAATTAGAAAAACTAAAAGAGAGTTTAAGTAGGAATACAATTTTGAAACAACTGAAATTACAAATAAAAAATAAAAACATTAAAATAACACAATACGATATTAACTAATTTTTTTAGAAAAAAATTCTGAAATTAGAAAAAGAAAAATAAGATTTCAATTAGGAATACAATTTATAAAAAACTAAATTTTTTATATAAAGGTTATTGAAAGAAAAGACCATCTAAAACACATGACGAGATAAATTAAGTAATATGCCTATAAAGGAGTAGAGTGGTGGCGGTTGATACGAGATATAAAAATTGTTAATAAAACACCAAATAGAATCCTAATGACGACTAAAAGGAGGGACGCCAGGCAGGCCGTGAAGCAAATGAGTAAGACGGTTGCCGGGACTTCTAAAAAGTAAAAAAAAAAACCCCATTGATAATCATATTCAATTTTTAAAATCTCAATGACAATAAGAAGGAGAAGTAGTCGGCTGGGTGTATAAGAGTATAATTGCAGAGCCGCCGACGGTTGACGGGACTTCTAGACAATAAAAAATGAATTCCAACGATAGTTATGTTCGATTTTTATAATCACAATGATAATAAAGAGTTGGCGACGGACGGACTGTAGAGGGGCATAGTGGCATTGTTTGATGGGACTTCTAAAAGTTATAAAAAAATGAAACTACAAGTCCAATTTTTAAAGGTTTGGAACTTCTAAAAAGTAAAAAAAAACCAATGATAATCATGTTCGATTTTAAAATCTCAATGACAATAAAGAAGAGAGGCAGCGGGCGAAGAGGAGTACAATGGCAAAGCCGCTGACGGTTTGGCGGGACTTCTAGAAAGTAAAAAAATGAACCCAAACGATAATTTTGTTCGATTTTTAAAATTTCAATGACAACAAAGAGAAGAGACAGTGGATGGACCGTAGAGGAGTATAATGGCAACGTTTGACGGTACATCTAGTAATTATAAAAATGAAACCCAACATGACAATAAGCTCTAAAAACTATAAAATCCAATTTTTAATGGTTCCAAGAAGAATAAATAGAAATAGTGGTAGATCAAGCAAGCAAATAAAGGAGACGACATAAGGGGTAGCAACTGGTGTGACTTTTAAAAACTATATAATTAGAAACACGAAGATGATAAGATTTGGTCTTTCAAAGTCTTAAGACAATAAGATAGCTAGATAGCTATTTAATAAATTTTAAGTAAAATTAGACTTAAAAAATAAAAAATATATGATTTTATTTGGGTGCTGCCACCCAGCTATATCCTCTTTCACACGCTTAAAAACAACAGTCAAAGTTCATCTGCTCTCGATCCAAACCGACAAATATTCATTAACGCGGAGAATATATAATATATATCCCTATGTGTTAGGATCAGTAAGTTGGAAGATGACCAGGCATGCACATGCAACACTACAAGTCCAATGGTTTTCAGACTCTAGACAGCACTACTGTCTACCAATTTGTGAGTGCACAAAATAGCGTGTTTAGGGACCAGATGTGTTCTTGTGCGATGTGAGGATCTATATATCGTGAGGTCATATATAATCTTGCTCTGTGCAATAAATTACTAGCTTGTTAAAAGCACAACACAAATTTGCTCCAAAATTAATTCGCGATCGATTTAATTATGAAACAAATTAAAGTGAAAACAGATTTACATTTCTGCAACAACTTAAAAATTAAATCAGCACAATTACTTGGCACACCACAAATAATTAAACATGTTCATATTACATATCAATATATGCGCACGAAGTATTGATGTACTCCCTCCGTACTTATAAAGGAAGTTATATTTAGGACAATGTTTAAGTCAAACCTTGAGAATATAAATCATGAATAATTCCTAAGTTGTTGAGTTTGAAAATATAAAAATTATATGAATAGATTTGTCTTGAAAAATACTTTTATAAAAGTATATATATATATATATATATATCACTTTTCAACAAGTATTTTTATAGAAACAAGAAGTCAAAGTTGTGTTTTGGAGACCGAGTCGCTGTCCAAAACGACTTCCTTTACGAGTACGGAGGGAGTATTGTGTACGGCCGGACATCAAATTAAAGTATACTATATTACTCCATCCCATTTTAAGTGCAGCCATGATTTTCTACACCCAACTTTAACCGTCCGTTTTATTTGAAAAAATTTTGAAAAAAATTAAAAACATAAGTCACGAGTAAAGTAGTATTCATGTTTTATCATCTCATAACAACAAAAATACTAATTTTAAAAAAAATTAAATAAGACGAAAGGTAAAAGTTGGACGCGAAAACTTATGGTTGCACTTAAAATAGGATGGAGAGAGTAATTAAGACACCTACACTTCTCATTACTTAGTTTTATGCAGAGATATTTTGTCTAGCTAAGGCACCAACGAGAAGATGGTTGAGAGCTGAGTCGCTTTCTCTGATCTAAGTGGACTTAGCACTTAACTAGCTAGATCCATCTGGAATGATTACACCCAGATTTTGGCCATGGACAAGTAATCACAAACATGGAGAAATATCTTCCTCACTCAAGTTTACTTATAACCATTTCTAGCTAGTCACTTTTCTAGAACATCATCGATCGATCGTGTTCTTGGCCTGCATCTGCATGCGAACTAATGCCGACATGACAGACCTAGCTAGATTGATAGACAGATATTTATGTGTTCTTAGGATTGAAACGTGCGTCCCTCTCCGCGATGATGATTAAGCAATGGAAAGCGATCGAGATCAGGTGACAGATGGTGCAATGATATAGATTTGCTTTAATTTCTGAATAAGGCAAAAGATTAAAAAAATGCAAGCTCGATCGATCGATCGTGTCAATCATGATGTATTGGATCTCAAGTTCTTAATTAATTACTCTACTCTGTCGGATTATTCATGTTCTCGGAGGAGTTTAATTCAGTACAACAATTAGTGCAGATGTTGTTCGTTAAGCTAACTTAAACCACTACCTCATCCTTGTTGCACTCGTCCCGTCAGATCACGTGTTCTGAATTTTAGTTAATTTCTTGGAATTAATCTTCATTTGCAGTTCCATAAATATTGCAGTGTTTCAATAAATAGTGGGCTTCGATCAGTGTGTGACACATTGCAGCAGAGAGAGCTCACGCGTTTCTTTTTTTTTTCAGATTTTGTGTCATCAGTGTGTGTGTGTGTGTGATTTTAAGTATATATAGCAGGCAATACGTAGGAAATTAAGACATGCTTTGCTATGCGAAATCTTGTTTCTAACTGCATGCCATGGCAAGACTAGTTCCTTTTTTAGCGAACCGGCATCGGCATATCAATTTCGTTGAATATAACATGAAAAAATATGACTATTACCAGTGAGGGAGAAGTGTTAGTTACAATCTTCGAGGAATCGGTTTCCCAATTCCCCACTCTTCTGCACGCGCCCTGATCGAGGACACTAGCCGCGATACATGGCTGTGGGCCCCTCTCACGCAGCGTCAAATAAAAAGGAGAGTTGGCCGGGCACGCAAACCAACGTTTGTCGTGCACATGCACTTCCACACAAAACCCTAGCAAACCCACCGATTCGGGATAGACGCTGAAGTGAGAGGAAGTCCGCCGCCGGCCATCACCACTACCGTTGTCCACAGGCTACGAGCTGCCTATGACGACATCTCCGCTAGGCGCTTTGCATGCTCCTGCCCAGTGGCGGATCTATAGAATCGATTCGTTGGTGTCATAACGTATCTATCGGTGTCATAGTATGTTAATTATACTTATATCATAGTGTTATAACATATGGATAAACAATTTCACTATAGGTTTTGCCGAAAGTCATCGGTGTCGCCTGACACCGGCCCTTCTACTGTATCCTGCCATCACCTAAGTTTTTTCCTCTTCTTTAATTTTAACAAGGTCATCATGACTATCTCATTTTGCCGGAACACCCTCTGGTTTCTCTTCGTTCAAATTTTCTAAGAAATTAGGAGTAGGGATCGTGTTCCTTAACAGTTAAACTAGTTCAATTACATATGTAAATCAACATACAGATCAGAAGCAATATCTTAATTTAGAACAAATCAAATATAGAGTAAGGCACATAGAAATGAGATTTGCTAAAGAGCCAAATTAATTAAGATTAAACGCACGATCAGGCAGTAGTACGTTACTATCCCAGGTTCTTTTCATAATCTTGAATTGAATTAACCGACAAAGGATGAACTATATATAATTAAGACAATGAGCTTCTTGATTAATTAATTTCTAGGATCATCTTTGCCTTTTCTTTACAACCATGCATCCATGTGCATGTGTCCAAAAAGAAAAGATAAAGAGAATCCTCATCTCTCAAAACTTTTTTTTAAGTGGGTACACCATATCTATCTCCATATTTACATGTATCTGTTGAGCATATATATACCTATGGTCCTATGCTAGATATTTCTTTCACTTATTCCAAAACATCTACTAGTATAACTCTAGCAGTCTAGCTAATATATCTTGTATATATATTGAACTAGTTAAGTATAATTAATTAATTAATTAATTATGTACTAGTAGCTAACAATCACTGCCTTCTGGTATGCTCTTCAAGGCAGGTCGCCACCCTCTGCAGCTGATCATCTCCTGCTCACTTGCTTCTCTCTGCATCAGCGAAACCATGTCGTCAAGAGAGACGCCATCCTTGTGCAGCATCTTCTTCAGCTGCTGCTTGCTGATCACCAGCTTCACCCGGACGACGCCGCCGGCCGTATCGGCAGCGGCGGCGGCGGCGGCAGCAGCTGCTGCCTTCGCCATGTCGGCCGCGGGGTCGTCGGAGTCGGAGACGGCGGCATCCCGGTGCAGCTTGAGGATCTCGCCGCCGTCCATTCCCATGATCTTGATCTCCTTGTCTCTGTCGTCTTGGATCACTAGGCAGTTGCCCATGGCGATGATGAGATTGAAATCAAGGAGAAGATTTATTGTGTTGTGAATTTTCTGAGAAGATTTAGACGAAAGATGAGAGCTTAGCTCAAAGTGTCCAAGAGTGAGGGGATGGAGAGAGGAGCCGAGCGATGTATTTAAAGGGAAAGCTCTCGTGAAATGGCCATACATTTAAGACTATATTTCATTAATGCCACTGGCTGACTCCACTCATTTCCCCGCTGAAGTGACTCCGCTGAAGAGTACAATTCAGGACGCATACTTACACACACCACATTCATACCACGATACACACGCGTGCGCGTTCCTAACACACACTAGGAATGAGATTAAAGACACTAGACCTCAGTGCACGGGAAACGTGCAGTCCCACTGAACGCGCACGCGTGTGTACCCTATTACCCGCTATTTTATTTTATTTTTTTAGTATAATGTCACGTATATTAATTTTTAAAATGTAATTTGATACACCGACACACAAAGCTTTCGCATGTTAAAAAAATCAATTTAGTCGACTTACATACTCTGTCTCAAAATATAGTAACCTAGAACATGATTAGATATTTTCTAGTATAATAAGACTGAACATGTACTAGAAAATTTATAATTCGATCCTAAATTGCTATATTTTAGACTAGACGTATACACTATGTTCAAATTCAAATATAAGATTGGATTTTTTTTTATAGGATGGAGGTAGCACAAGATAAGCCTTACCCCTATATATTTATCATCCATGTCCCAAAATGACCTAGTAAATATATCGAAAACCAGTGTATTACACCATGGTATTACCAAAGAAAAATATCACTGCATGCCAGGCTCTTAGACACTTTACACTCTATTATTACGCTTATGTTTTTGTTTGTTCTTACAACTTATTTGTCTATTTATATACGTATCCTTAGTTATATAAAAGCAAAAAACTATAAAATAAATTATGATATAAATAAACACAAAATTAACACTAAGTTAAGTTTTAAAATTTAAATTTTAAACGAAACAATAAGGCGTTAACGCAGTGATAATCATACGAACAATGCTAATGGCAGAATAGGGAATGTGGGGCTGAGGGGAGGGGCTTGCTGGAGAGAAAAAAAGGTCGGCAAGCAACATACCGAGGTAAGGATGATATCACGAAACATTAGGATGCATGTGGGCCCAACATTTGCAGCATTGCCTAATCTCCATATATGTTTGTGCTTGCTAGCTTTTAGAAAGTAGTGGGTGCAAAGAATCATTTGCATCCCGTCAATTTTGCGACTGAAAATGAAATAAAATCCCTCTCCCATGCGTGTACTCATGATCGATCGATACTAACTGCTCAACTTTTCTATGTGTGTGTGTTTTTATTACATCGCAAGAATTATTTGTCATATTGTTCTATTTGTTTATTACATGCATGAAAGATCGACTTCTGCAAATGTATTGTGCAACACACACGTTTAAATGCATAGGCTTATTAAAAATCTTATTGACAATACACCCACGTGTGCGAATATTTGTTGGCATAATTCAAATCTTAGTACGTAATGTTATGCAACGATATATAACTCCACATATTATAGTTCTTTCTCAACTATCCTATTTCTCTCCCTCTAATTTGAGCACAATGATCCGTCAGAAGAAAACTGACAATGAAATGCGAATAAACAACAAAAGACCGAAATATCTAAAATAAAAAACATCCAAGCTGCAAAGGACTTAGATTAACTTATTTTCTTTACATGAAGACGCATATATACAAACATTTTTTGCAACGTTTTTTCTCGTTAGCGTGACGTAAGCAAACTACGATGGTCAAAGTGAAGTGGAACAAAAGCGTGTCATTGTCGATCAAACGCCTTTTCACACATTCTAAGCCCCACTAGATCCTCTCCCCTTTTTTGTCATGTAATTTTTCTTCACCTTTAGCTCTTTTTGTTTATACTAGCAAAAGTGCCCGTATGTTGCATCGGGTGATTACGGAGTGTGTACAGTGACAAAAATTGTTGTTTAGTTTAGACAACTAATCTGCTAAAAAAATTATTTGCTTTTGGATAAATAATCTGCTATATATTTGCGGAATATATATGATGTTTAATTTGGATGATTTGTAGCATGAGAGAAAATGGATGGACGAATAATGCGATTGTCATTGCTCAAAAGGCGACGAATGGAAATTTGTATCATGAACGGAAATATTTATTCTTTATGTAGGCAAGTGTAATAATATATAAGTGGAATTTTTGTACTCAATATTTTTTGAATTGCGAGAATATATTTTTTTTGGAAACACATAGTATAAACGCGCTCACAACGTGAGCATTGAGATTGACGATGTTATCACGAATGTCTCGAGCACCCATGTCAAATTAAATATTTGAATCCAGGTTGACTAGTTCCACCATAAGAAACCACACATAAATCCACCATAAGAAACCACACATAAATCCAACAGCAGCATGCATATGCAAGTGTGCAGTACTGATTATAAAGAGCTAATCAATTACATTAACAGCTAGCTGAGTATAGCATTAGCTAATCTCTTGCAATGTCGCCATCCCGAGTAATTAAGGAGAAGAAATTGTAATTAAGAAGATTAGAAAATGAGGGAAAAATAATTAAAAAAAGAGCGGACAAGGACATAGAAAAAAAGAGCAGAGAGGACAGATCAAGATTTTTTTATTATTTAAACAATTTTAATAAGTAAATACCCGTACGTTGCAATGTGTAAACTAAAATTATAACAAATATAAAAAATATTAGATGATTAGAATTTAGTTTTTATGATATGAGCCGTTCAAAAAAAATCCTTATAAAAATAAAAAAAGTTGTAAAAAAAGGCCCATTAGACCCTATTGGCCCTGCTATTACGCGTCTAGCACAAGAATCGCGCGTGGTGCGGTGGCCTGATACGGAGGCCGGCCCAACGCGGGATCGATATGAACTATTCGTTTTGATGGACGGCTCAGATTGATTCTAAATCCATCAACACCCTAACCCTAATCACACCTTGACCCGACCGCGAGCTCTACCTTCCGCTCGGCCCCTCCCCGACCGGTGGCGCCTCTCCCCCTCCCCTCCCCTCTCTCGACCGGCGGCGCCACTCCTCCTCCGCCGCCCCCTCTCCGCCACTCTCCTCCCCTCCCCTCCTAGCGGCGCCTCTCCCCCTCCCTTCCCCTCTCCCGACCAGTGGCGCCGCTCCTCCTCTGTCGCACCCTCTCCGCTACTCCCTCTCCCCCTCTCCTCTCCTCTTGGCGGCGCCTCTTAGTGTGGCGGCTTCCTGTTAGTAGATCCGGCGGCATCAACGGCGCCGGTCTTTCCCGCGGCCCGATCCACCGGCGGCTTCCCGCGGTGGATCCGACGGTGACGACGGCTACGTGCGTGGTGGTGGCGGCAGCTGCTTCCCGCATCGGATCCGACGGCTACGAAGGTGGCGGCGGCTTTCGGTGATGTTTTTTTTCCTCTTTCGCTTGATTGTCCTATTGGATTTTGTATCTATGTTTGCAATGAATTTTCGCTGAATCGCTTATGCATTTGGTTGTTGCTGTGGACTCTGGATGATTTTTTTTATCTCGTACTCTCATCTCGGATGTTGTGGACTAGGGATTTTTTTTAAGGACACTGACAAAAAATTAACGCGTTTACGGACGTGGTGACGAAAGGAAAATAACGAATCTTTTAATTAAAATTATGATAAGATAAGAGGTACAGTGCCATTGTTTTAAAAAACCAACACTTATAAAATATTATAGGTGCCAGCTAATTTAAAATCGACAACTATAATATATTATATTACCGGCACCTAAAAAACCGAACAGTGTCTTAGGCCATGTTTAGTTGGGGAAAGTTTTTGGCTTGATTGTCACATCGGATATACAGACACACATTTAAAATACTGAACGTAGTCCAATAACAAAATAAATTACAGATTCCGCTAGGAAACTGCGAGATGAATTTATTAAACCTAATTAATCCATCATTAGCAAATATTTGCTGTAACACCATATTATCAAATCATGGCACAATTAGGCTCAAAAGATTTGTCTCGCAATTTACGTAATCTATGTAATTGTTTTTTATACTACATTTATGTGTCAAATATTGGATGGGACGTCGTGAAATTTTTTGTTTTGAGGTCTAAACATTGCCTTATCCATCCATCCACAACGGAGATAGTAAGACCAAGCAGGCTAGCTGGCGAGCAATTGAAAGGAACCAAGCCGGCGGGGCCCACCGAGGTGATAAGGACGAGAGCTCCCTGAATTTTTCTCTCTCTCTCTCTCGTTTTCCTCTCCTCTCTCGGTCCTCTCTCTCGTTTTGCTCTTCTGTTTCGCTCGCTCTCCTCTCCCTCGGAGCGGCGGAGCTAAGGCGGCAGGCAACGGCGCAAGAGGGGAGGTGGCTGGCGACAGGTGGCGGCGGCGGGTGGAGACGGTGCAGTCCAGCGGTGGCAGCGGTGGGAGGCGGCATCGACGGCGATGGCCGCGCTCTCCCCTCCATGGCAGCGTCGTGCGGCGGCTTCTGCAGCGTGCGGCGGCCGCCCGGAGGTGCCGTCCCTCCGCCAGATCCAGCGGGAAGAAGGGCTCCGGAGCCGCGCCACCACCAAATGCGCCGGTCGCCTTGGTGCTGTCCCTGCCGCCGCCCCGCGTCGAGCTCGTCCACAAGCCCGACGACCGCGCCAAGCACTTCCGCCGCCGCACGTTGCCTGCAACCCGACGTGCCTCCTACTACCTTTTGTTTGCCAGCAAATTCATACTCCCTCCTTCTATAAAATGTTTGACACTGTTAACTTTTTTAAATATGTTTTACCGTTCGTTTTATTTAAAAATTTTTATGAAATGTGTAAACTTACATGTATACATGAAAGTATATTTAACAATAAATCAAATAATACGAAAAGAATTAATAATTACTTAAATTTTTAAATTTTTTGAATAAGACAAACGGTCAAATATTTTTAAAAAAGTCAACGGCGTTAAATATTTTGGGATGTCTTTGTTTGACTTTCTGTATCGCCGGATCGGATTGGGAGGGAGGAAATACTTCCTCCGTTTTAAAATGTTTGACACCGTTAACCTTTTAGCACATGTTTGACAATTCGTCTTATTAAAAAAATTTGTGAAATATGTAAAACTATATGTG